TTCACTGGACCTCTAAATCCTGTAATACCCCAAGTTTAGATTAAGTAAAAAATCTGTGTTCAGTAATAGGGGAGGGGGGAGATGAGAAGAAATCGAAGTAAAGTGATTAAGATGTGGGAATAATCACATGTATTGTATGGTATGGTTCTCTTCCCCATCTCATTGTTTTGTCTTAACTACTAATACTCTGATTTAATGCCTTCTGTCTCTTCCACCAACACTGTATGTTTAAAACCTGGATGTCTTAGTGTTTCCTCCTTTTGCCCGAAAGATGACAAATAGCTGACATATTCTGTAAGTGGCTTAACCTAGTTCTAGCGGATTACTGTTCAATAAATGCTAAATAATTGATTGCTTTAATAGTCAGATATAAATTAAGATAATCAGCATCTGAATTAGAAGAATTGTAGATTTTTGTCCCTGGCTTTACAATATATCTGTATGCAAGAAGTTTTTAAAAGTTAGGGTGAGATCCCAGTAAAGCCCCATCATAACCACTAGTAATCTGTAATCCAGTATTTTGTTTCATTAAAGCAGATATGAAATCATTCTCCTTTTAGTGCTGTACAAGTACTGTGGGAGTTGCTTTAGTTGTTTAATGAGAATTGCGCTTAGTTTTCTTGTAAAGTGGAACAGAATAGTATGCAAACTGAAATGTCAAATATGATGGCAACCAGGAAACGGGCAACAACCCACAACGCAACTCCTATTTTTCAGATTTTCAGGGACTCAACAATTGAGGGTAAGGTGCTCAAGAGGATGATAGTGATTCAGTTTTAGTCATTTGTGGGGGATGTTGCTCATATTCCAGGCTGGTTATGGTCCAGTTAAAGGATGGAATTGGCCTTAGTCACCATGGATGATGAGATGTGGGAGAAGAACAGAGTAGTGCTGTGAAAATGCTTGTCTGTTCACTTGTTCTCAATGAGGCAAACTGTCTCATTATGATGAAACAATCTGTCAGGACTTTATTAACCCCCACGTGTTTATCTCTCACCTCCAGCTTTGAGACAATAAGTGGATGGGGGGGGTTTCCCAGTTTCTGCCAATTTGTTTGCACAGATGGAGTGTTTTTTCCCTTCCCAGCAAGCAAAGAAGGACTGGCTGACTGATCAGAAATATACCAAGAGATCAGCCAGTGCTTTGCATTTTAAAAGCCCATGCAACAAGGCAGCATTTATCTTACTTTAGCTACACACTTATGAAACTGGCTGGATCAGACTGAGGTGCACAAACACACACAATTAGAGCAACAGCTTTGTCCCTGTTCTTCTCCACGGCAGAGTATGGTAGTGCCGTATGGTATAAATCCACACATGCTGAACAAGTGGAGGTAACTCTTAATCAAGCAGGATTGTGACTGGCTGCCTGAAACCTACCCCCCCCCTTTGAAAAAGTCCATTTCTTTGGCTTTCATTGGCCCCCAGAAGTATATATGTTGTTGAATGTATGAATGCTGAAGAGTATCTCTCACCAGGAAAAGACTCTAGCTGGACCATCTGGAAGTAGGAAGATCAAAGGATAATCAAGTATTTGGATACATGACAAATTTTCTGTGACTGTGGAGAAATTCAATCAGTGCAGCACTTATATGCATGCACTTTGTGCACTACCATGCCTACAAAAGAACATCTAACAGGTGGCCAAGATAACACTATTGAAGTAGCCTGCTTCCAGTAAAAAAATAGTCTGATTATCATAGCATTTTAATTTGTTTTTAATTTTACCTATATTTGTAAATATATCCATAATTTTAAATTGTGCAACACTCTGATATGAATAAAGGAAGAAAGCTACACATTTTGTGCTGAATGTGGTAACTTTTTTTTCAGACAAGGAGTAAAACTTGGTCACTTGACAAGCAAGAATTCTACATCCTTAGAATGGAGTGTGCATTGCTTTTACTCAAATCCGAGAGTCGCTTTTGATGCCATTGCCTAAGAACTAGTTTTAGATGTCTGTAATACTGCTATATGACGTTCTGTACAGAACAGAACCAGGATACTTCCTGGAATGTCTCCTCAATACCAAACTACCATGCTATTATGATCTTTAGGGGGCTGCTGTTGTCCAGACTAGAGCTACCATGCTATTATGATCTTTAGGGGGCTCCTGTTGTCCAGACTAGAGATGGGGATGACTCACCATGTTGGTGAGTCATCCCACTTCGTGAGTCGTCAAAAGTTGACGACTCATGAAGCATGAAGTTGCCCCAATGAAGCGAAAAATAATGAAATTATTTGTTTATTCATGGAGGTTTATTTTTTAAAAACCCACCCCTGCCCATGCCCCCTGCTGCCACCTCCACCCCCTTGCTGCCACCGCTGCCTCTCCACACCTCCATCCCTGTCGAGACCCCCTTACTGTAATCGCCACCACCAAGGTCTCCAACTGGCCTCCACAGCCACGACATGTAAAAAGGGAAACTGACTGCCCTTTGCAAAGATGGCGGCCAGATGGAGATCTCGGCGGTGATTACAGTAAGGGGATGTTGGTGGGGGTGGGGTGGGGGCTAAGGTAAGGAGAGGAAGGGGGTGGGGTAGACTATGGGGGTGGCTGTCTGTCTATTGGCCTGCCGATCAGCTGCTCGGCAGCAGGTAGGCAGAATGGTTTTGGTTTTTAATTACAAAGGATGAATAAAAACGGGAAAATACTCATCGATCCATATTCGTTGGGACTTAAAATTTGACAAATACAGATTGACGAATATTTAACAAATCAGCTATTTTCGTCGAAGAAAACTATCCATTTCTATATTCATCCCCATCTCTAGTCCAGACTAAATCTGATGACTTCATGTTTGGCAGCAGCATAGAGATAAGGTTTCTATGTTGTGGTGTTGATCCTGTGGGATCACTTTCCTTCTGTAGTATGTTGGGCTTCAAGAGTGATGTGTTTTAGAGGCTTAATGAAACATTTTTAAAAGGGGGATTTCTTGCAGTTCCAAGCTATAATAGGTTCTATGTTGCATTGTTTTATTGTTTCATGGTGGTGTATAAATCACTACAGGATTTACACAAATGAGAAGATATATAAATCAATCAATCTTAAAGGAAAAAAGCAGACCTTTTAGTCTGGGCATTGCTGACATAGTCTAGCATCTGAGGTGAAACAGAAAATCCCCACCCCACTAAATCAAGATACCTTAGTGCCCAAAGTTAGACAACGTAGCCTGACAAAAACTCTGGAAAGTACTTCTCTTTTCTCTAGTCAGTAGAAACCCAATGATAATACATTAAACATGCCTTCTCATGACACTCCAAATCAGCTGCCTAAGGGGGGCACCTCACTCTCCCTAATGTTAGTGGTAACTTTGAGTATAAGCTCTCCTGTTGTTGAACAAGAAAGGAAAGAGAACATGCACCTCCAAACTTCTGACACGACCCTTGACTTTCAGCAAATGACACCTGACATTAGTCAAAGAGCAGGAGTGGCTCTGCTGAGTTAGGGCACAGTCAACCTTGAAACATCTGCGACAGGAAGGGAAGAAGGTACAACTGAAATCTGATAGAGACATCAATGGGTAAAGATAGCAACTCCTTACACACCTTTGGAAAAGATTGCAAGGGCAAAAGGCCTCTTAGACAAAAAGTGTCACCAATATCCAACTTTCATGACAAGTATTACTTTCGGATCCCTGGGCTGTGTGCATGTGTGGGGAAACTTTAATTGCTCCAAATCACTGCTAGATCTCTGGAGGTGGTCCTGATTCTGGTGGCGGGAATCTGCTGGCAGTATTTGGTAACTAAAGGCTTTCCCCCCACATTCCAAGGCTCTCAAAGACTTCCACTGGGTAATTGGGAGCCCCATGGAGCCTCAAAACCTAAGCAGGAAGCCCTAAGGAGCCTTGGTAGGTATGAAACTTTACTTAAAGTAAATTTTACAGGCACCAGTTAATGATGTCATCAGCTTCCACCATTATAAATGTAGTCAGTAGGGTTTTGCCCAGTCATTGTTTAGAACTGCCACATCAAAGGCTACAGTATAATGTCCATACTCCAGGAGGACAGGAACACTGAGGAAAAAAAGTACTAAAATACTAAATACTAAAAAAGTACTGTACTAAAAATAGTACAATCACTTAATATGTCCTAATCGTTCAGTGGGGGCCTTCTTTAGTTGGAACAAACAATTAGATTTACCCCAGATGTTAGCTGAATAATGGAGGAAAAATATGCATAATGTTCTCCAACCAAACCATCTGAATACTGTGTCTTCAGGGAACATATGATTTGTGACCTTAATTTCATCAAGTATGTGAAAGCAAAGTATATTACATCAAGGCTTGTAAATTAATGTATATTATTTACACTTTTATTCAAACTCTCCAACGATACATCTTTCAAACATCCACAGATTTTATACATACTGTTGCTGTGCATATATATATATTTATATAAAAATATTTTTTACGACTCAAGAACCTAAAGGAGTTGAGAAGACATTATTGCTACAGGTCAGCATTTACATGAAACAGAACAATTAAACAAATCTGAAGCTATGAAGCTGTTGCATAACTAAACTTTAAACAAAAACAAAATTATAAAAATATAACTTCTGAGAATATTAAAGAAAAAAAATCTTCATCCAAGTGCCAAAGAAGTACCGCAGGGTCTACAATTATTATATGTTTTTCTACAACAGCTATGGAAGCCAAAAAAAATTTGTTTAAGGATGGGGGTATTCGTATTTGTAGACGAATACAAATATCTCCCAGCAGGTGGAAATAACGAGGGTCTGGCCCCATGAAGCCAGACCGTCCACTCACTGTTCGGCCGCTGCCGTGGGCGCAGCAGTGTCTTCCTATTGCGCTGTGCTCCACAATGGATTAGCCACTATGCGATCTGGCAGAGAGGCTTATCATCCCGCCTCCAACCAGGAGTGGCTAATCCACTGCGGAGCACAGCGCAATAGGAAGACACTGCTGTGCCCGCGGCAGCTGCCAAATGGTGAGTGGACAGTCTGGCTTCATGGGGCTGGACCCTCGTCATTTCCACCTGCAGGGAGATATTTGTATTTGTCTACAAATACGAATACCCCCATCTCTAGTTTTGTTTTTTAAATTATCATAGCCTCAGAAGTAGGATGGCGGGCGGAGGGGGGAGTGCACGGTAGAAACCCTCTTCTCACTTTCAGTACACACATATACTGAATATATTGGAAGGAAGAATGGCTTGAAGGATTGGAAGGAAGAATTTCCTTGTTTCGGAAGGAAGAATTTCCTCCCTTCATATATGATTCCTTATTGTAGATGTATGAAAATGTGAAGTGGTTCAATATCTGTACAGCTGTAACTCATGTGGGCTCTTCTGTGAAACGAGGACATTTAACTATGCAATGTTTCCAACTACATATACACGGTTTACATACACAGGGTTTTACAGAAAAAGGGACCCTATCACAATTTCTGCTTCTTCCATGCGGTCAGTGCTAGATGGCCCAGTCTTCCCTCATGCTGTGTGTGCTTGTAATATGAGGGACTGGAGGTGAAAATAGGGCTACACAACGGCCATACTCCATTGGTTCCTGTACACATGCAAGGGTTTTGAGATCCACATAGTACTCCAGGCATGCCGAGGTGACTTCATTGTCAGAACACGAAGATCATTTCCAAGGGCATTGGGAAAACTTGGTGCACAGATGGAACCTTTTATTTCACAGAAGAGAATGGGAAGCCCCCATGTATGTGGATCTTGGATCAAGCTATTCCCCACCAACCTCAGCAGACTTCTGAAAGGTGCAACAGTATATGTAACTCCAGTGCAAGTGCCAACTTCTTAGGACTACCTAACAGATTTCTATAAATATAACCCCAAACAGCATGGTATAGGACCTAACTCCAGATCAAATATTTAGCAAAAACCTAGTGGCATTCAGTGCAGCTTGAGGACACCAGCAGTGATTTCTAAAATTAACTCGCAGTTGGGAAACTAATTACTCAATAATATTGCATGTAAGCAAACAGCTAATTCTACCAAGAAAACAAAAACTCAACAAAAGTGGCTGTGACATTCCGTGTAAATAACAGGGTGCTAAAAGGGATGGTACCAGATGTTTGCTATTCTTTCTGTTGGGCTCTTTGCTAAAACAGGACCTCACAGAAAAACAAAATGAGTAAAATGTTGTGAGCTGGTCCAGTAAGGATGTTTTTAAAGCAAACAGCAAAATAGAGAGCTCACTGCTAGATCCACCTGCCTACTAGAGTATATGCTCCATTTAGTACTAACATGACCATTGACTAATCTCATTATTCTTATCAATGCTGCCAATTCTGCATTGCAGTGTTGCAGAACAAAATAAGCCCTTTTTCCAGGATATGAGTGTTTTGATATATCCACTTTCAGTAATTTGGTGCTACTTGAATTGCCATGGGGCCCATTCTATGGTACCTGGGATTTATAATTCAGCAAGGGACTTGCAGATTGAGGAGGCTGCCAGAGTTCTCCCTCAGGGAATATTTAGTATCTCACTAAATTGGTCACCAGCTCTCACAGTTAATATTGTATGTGTTGCGGGCTGGGCACACAACACATACAATCAATGAGACTTAGTTTGATACCAGTTGAACTACTCCATCCTACGGAATCTTTGGATGTGTAGTTTGGTAAGGCACGGGAATCCTTTGTGAAAGAGCTATAGTTCGTTCCTCTAAGCTACAACAAGGGATTCTTAGTATTACACCAAACTACAAAATCTGAGACTTCTGGAGTTAAAAGTAGTATCAAATTGCTTAACTGTGCAGTGTAGCTGTAATTCTTACTGGCCTTCTGTGTAACAAATGTACAATGGACCCAAAATAATTTTTGAGGAGAATAAGAAAGCCATTTGAAACTGTTCAACATACACACAGAGACACATATGTGTACACATACCTATGTCCTCAAAATAACTGAAAAATGAACCCTTGCATTTGCAGGTCCCTAGGTCACATTATTAATGGCACATCTATTTTTATGACTAAACTACAAGAGCTATATAAAGAACACGCAATTGTGTCTCTTACAATACAAACAGACATATGCCTTCATCATAACCTGGCCAATAATTCAGTTGCATTTTCTTAAACAAAACCATAATTGATGGGTGGAGATGCAACTATTTTCTTAACTTGGCTTTGGACATACAGCAGTGTATTATTTCCTCCCATATTATAGGAAATGTATGTACAGACTGACCTTCTAAAGTAGATAATGGAACAAAAAAAAGACTACTCTGGTCAGCAACTGTTGCATTAGAAAAGGTAAGCATGTGTGTATAAATGCGAACATTAAAAGCCAAAGCATGGAAACTGTCTTCCTCTGTCTCTCCCTTGCTCTCTTATGTATCATCTGCTTAGAATGAAGATGTAGAAATTTGAGCTAAGAGATTAATAAGAAAAGAACAATCTGTCATAGGCCAAATCCTTTACTATGTGCCAGCTCACATGTATGGAGCACAAGAAGGAGTACAAGCAGTACCTTTTTTTACTAGCAGCAGTATCCTGCTCCAATTCATAGCATTCATGCCAATCCAATCCAAGTCATAGCATTCATGCCAGTCTAACTAACCAACATGGTTCGAAATTCAGGGAAGCTGGTTTAAGTCTTTCTATTTCTATATTTTCAAACACAAGCATCAACTTCCTATCTTCAGCTCTCAAGACCTGTTGGCTTTTCAGTTTCAACTGTGAAGAATTTCAAAGAGCTGGGGTAGCTCAGGGGGCTGGAGCACATGGCTGCAGAGACTAGGGTTCGGCATTCAGTCCTTACTACATCTTCCAGAAGAGAGATATCAGTCAAGATCACTTGGAGTGTGTATGGCTAAGGGACTTTGCCACCTGCATGGTCCTGGGCAAAATGCACTGTCCCAGAGTACCACTGGAAGGAAGGACTAGTAGACCACTTCTGAATGCTTTAAGCCTTGCAAACATTGGGAGGGTTGCCATTAATTGGAATCAACTTGATGGCACACAATTTTTAACTTGCAAAGAATCCCATAAGCAATTTCCTTCAAATGTTTTTTCCACACCCAAATTTTAAGATTCTTTCTCACTCCTACACTACAAATGCATATAACATGGCAACTATACACAGATTCTAGCAAACAGTGTAACAATGCTATAACTGTGATGGGCAATCTACTTTTGTTTCTAACAGTATGCATTTTTTTTTTTTTTAAAAAGAGCAGAATAATCACTGCAGTATTCCTACCATTCTTGGTGTACTAGAGAATAACATGAGAACAAACAGAAGTCATTCCTTTAAAAAAACCCAAATTTCACATGATTGGCTGAGTCTCCTCTCAGGCATCTTCATGTGTGAGTAGGGGCTGCGTAGATGAAGCACTGCTGCCCACAGAGTTAATTCTCACAGAATGATCTGTAACGCTTCCTTGATTGCATATGCCATTTGTAACATTTGAGTAAATCTGGAAAAGATATTAAGAACAGTTAATCCTCAAGAACTGCACATAACATCAAATGCCTTTGTATGTAATTCCAGAAAGGGCTGACAGAATTGTTCAGCCAGGCTTTTGATTAAAAGAGCTCATGCTGCAAACCTGGATACCTGAAGGACCGCCTCCTTCCATATGAGCCTACCCGGCAGTTAAGATCTAGCCAGGGGGCCCTTTTGAAAGAGCCATCCCTCAAGGAGGTAAGAGGGATGGCTTGTAGACAAAGGGCCTTCTCGGCAGCTGCCCCCAGACTATGGAATGCCCTCCCGACTGAGATTCGTCTGGCGCCGACACTGATGACATTTCGGCGCCAGGTCAAAACCTTCCTGTTCCAGAAGGCTTTTAACTGAAATAATATTAACTGTGGGTCTGATGGCAATTTTATATATATTTTAATTGTATTTTAATTGTACATATCTTTATTGTATTTTAAATGCTGTAAGCCGCCCAGAGACCTTTGGGTAGTCTGGGCGGCATATAAATTAAAAAAAAAAAATTAATAATTTCCAGGGAAGTGGCCCTATTAGTTTATTACTACAAAAACAACAATGGAATATATCCATTGAGATTTAGGCAACCATTATAATGTTAATTGCAAACACTAGAAAATTCTGTTTCTTTTCTCTGTCAGTTAACAATAGAAAGACCCAGAATGCATAATGAATAGAAGATGGAACTGCAAAAAGTCAGTGCAGCAGAGAAGCTAAAATCCCCCTTTTGAATTTTGCTTTTGCCATGATCTTACTATGTGTTTTCAGGAAAACTGTTAGTTCTTAGCATCATCCTTCCATTAGCAATATGACCTTGCTGTGGCATCTAAAAGATGGGCACATTTACTATGGCATACATGTCCCTGAGCTAGAGTCCATTGAGCTGGCTCCATACCTCAGTGGTTTAGGTATCTACTGTGGAGCCAGAGGTTGGGAGTTCATTTCCCCACTGAGTCTCCTGCAAAGAGAGTCAGCCTCTGTGACCTTGGTAAGCTGCGCAGTCTATCCCCTAGGAAATGGTAAACCACTTCTGAGCATTCTCTACCTGGAAAACCCTGGAAAGAATTAACTTGGTGGCAGATCATTATTATTAAGGTCAATTCATCAGTTGCATGGAATGTTATGCTGTACTATAGGTATACTGTATATGCACATTTGGTGAATGGAGGAAAGGAACTACAAACAGCAAGGTCAGTTCTGCATTTCATTCATATTTCCCTTCTTTCAACCATGTGTATAGATTTGTAACCCAGCATACTGTTTCACATGTCTGAAGAAATTGACTCTTGTCCATGGAAGCAATAGACTTGTTAGCCTTTGAGTTGTTAGATGAAAAAAACTTTTAGCCATTCTTTTCTTATGGTTATTATTTTTCTTCACTTTGTTATTTATTTCTCTTATGTATACCACAGGTTGGCTTAACAGGCCACATGCATCCACCTCCAGGAACACTTTTGTGGCTTCAAATGCCACCTAAGAGCTCCCTATTAAAATTATACATAGTATTTTTGACTCAAAATGCCCTATTTCTGCTTTTGGATGCTTTTAAGGTTGCCATTTTTGCAGTGGGGAATGGAGACAGGGCCCACTAACTCTTCCAAAATGAAATCAGACATGTGATTCAAGCTCTTATTTTTCCATTTTTTGTAAATGTAAGAAAATAGCCATTGCTGGGACTACTTGTGGGTCTGACCCACAAACCCAGTGAGGTTGCTCTTCCTGATATACACCTTTTTTTCAACTGCAAGAATTTTATTCACATTCCAGAGGGATTTTGGTTTTCATTAGATTGATTCTATCACAGGACAGAAGACATTTCTCCATAACAGGTAATTTCAACATTTGCAAGGTAGTACTCATAAGTGGAGGTTATCAGTCTTCATGTGACAGACTTACTCTATATGAAACAACCCACAGTTCTACAACCATCGACAAAGGATGCACCCATTTTAAATTTATACAAGTCAGGTATATGTGTCTGACAAAGTTACTTTGTGGTGGCCAACCCCCAAACCATAATTTTCACAAAGTCACGGTGGTTGTTCTTGTTGTCACTCATCCCATTTCTCTTCTCTGACTTGCTGGCAATTGGATTGTCAATGGCTGGGCTGGGTGCTCTGGACTGCATAGTGTGATGACCCTTTGGTTTTACAAAGGCCAAAGAATGAGTGCAAGAGCTCACTAGTATCTGCAAGAAGCCAGGAGGAGCACTCAGTTTTCAGAAAAGCTACCACCTGGAAGCCACAATCTACCTGTGATGGGAAAATTTACAGGCCTTGGTCCAGCTATGAACTCCATGGCAAGTATACTCATTGGATCAGTTGCTGAATTGATCCACTCATCTACACCCCACTGATTCAAGGGCTACACTTGGGTATTCAATGGGCATACCGTAGTTGGCCCCGGTAGTTCAATTTAAACCTCTTTTTTTGTGCTACCACTTTCAGAATCCCCCAGTAAATACAGCCAGTGGCCATTCTGGCTGGGATTTTCTGGGAGTTGTAGTCCATAAATCTAACTTCTCCCATCTTGCAATCCCATTATTGGCCATCCCAGCAGCTAGATCTACCAAAAATGGTTAGAATATATGCAGGTATGGCTTTTAACGATGACTTTATCTCATTCAAAACATTCAGGTGGCCAAGAAAGCTGTATGTTACAGTCCGCAGTCACTTCAGAAAAGACACCAGCCACTTCTTGCTAACAGAACTTACATGGTTTGTGGTATCTGAAATCTGTTGTTCAATTAGTTGCACAATTTGTTTAAAGGTTGGCCTCTTTACAGGATCTGCATCCCAGCAGCTCTTCATTATCTGATACCTTGAGATATGAAAGGAATTTATCAATTGAGATTTAGGCAGTAGTTACAGGGTGAATTGCAAACACTAGAAAATTCTGTTTTCAAAAACTGTAATCTCCACTAGTTAACAATAAAAAAACCCAAAATGTATTGCTATTTGGTGGAACTGTACAAAGTCAGTGCAGAAGAGGGGCTAAAGTCTCCCTTTCAAATCTTGCCTTTGCTATGACCTCACTATGTCTGAAGCCAGTAGCAAGTCACTGCTAAAGCAGCCCCACTGAATCAATAGAACTTATGGAGGAATTGACTCACCAAATACCCACTGATGCAGTGAGCCTACTCTAGTTGCAGCTACTGGATTTCAACCACTATGTTCTGGGCAACTGCTGGTTCTCAGCCTGTCCTCACAATAATTCTGACTCTGCTGAGATCATGTATTATAAAGTTAAGTTTTGAAGCCCCAAAGTGTTCTGGATTGTATTTATTATAAAGCTCCCGATAGTCACAAAGAAGTGCTGTGAATATAGTCAGAGGTATATTTCAGGTTTCCACTGTAGTTACTTGCATGTCTGAATTGACAAGTGATTCAAAAGTGGAAAAACAAGTTTCTATATTCAGTTGTTTGAGCACTTACACAAAATATCAGATACTTTCATTTTCACCCTTAATCATGAATGGCTGTACTGGAAGATAAGAGTGTGGCAGCTGTCTTGGACAGCAGATTTGAGGCATCATGAGAAGGCAAGAAATTGTTAGTTTTATTTATTATTATTGTGCTTTTATCATACGTGAAATGCCAGTGTAATGGAATCTGTCTAGAATTAGCTGCCTCAGGTAGCAAAAATTACTTGGCTGCCTTGAGGTATGCCCCATAACTTTGAAAGGAGGGGAGCCTCACAAAGCAAAATGCCCCAGGTTGGTCCTGCCTACAGCTCTTAATAAGGCATACACAAAGTACTGTTTGGTTGAAGCCCTGGTAACAAATTCTCATAGTCAATAATACAGGTGCTGTGAGCTGGGCTTTCTTGGTCATCTATGGAAGTTCGATTTATAGAATGATTTGTTTCTTTCTTTAAATCCCATCTTACCACTTGAATGTCACTACTTGATTCTACCCCAGGTTTTCTGCTTTCACCCTGTCTGCTCCTAGGTTTAGGTCCTTATTTTTATTCCTGTCTTCACTCTTTTAGAGATGTACATTTCAGCTACAGTTCTGTACCTAGTGTGTGTCAGCACGATACTGTTGGAAATTCTTTTAAAAAATAAACAAAATGATGTCTGAGAACATCAGGTAGTAAAGATCTAATTATCAAGAGCAGCATCTGTTGGGGTTTATTAAATACAATAGTGGCAGGAAACTTTGGACTAGTGTTCCCAAAAATCCTTACTGCTGCCATACAGGATGGAGCTGGTGGGAGTTGTAGGCTAAAATGTCTGGAACGCTAATGATTCTCTACTCTTGGCTATAACAAACAAAATTCAGACTGGAAGAGGCTGACACCAGAACATCAAATTCCATTTAGCTAGTTTGTTTGAGAGGCTTTGACCATTATCATTATTTGTGTAACAATTGGTATCATTAGTTGTGTAAGGCAGTATGGAACAGCTGTGCACACTCCATAAGATCACACTGCACACGCTGATTACTCTAACACAAGGTCCAAGTGGGCAATACCAGATGATAGCCCAAAATTTGTGTGTGTTTATGAACAAGATTTCTAGAGGTGGTGTGAATTGAAAGCTTAATTGTGAAGCCTACATAAAGTCATTTCTCCCATATTAGCCAAAACAGAATGGAACAAAACAAAGACACATATACAATTGTTCAAATGGACCATATCTCAGTACTAAAACAATTGCTTTGCATGTACAACGTCTGATATGCGTATACCTGAGAGAAGCTCAGCAGGGAGTGAAAAAAAAAGACCTTATAAGGTTGTCTGTCAAAGCAGACAGTACTGGAACAACATGAATAGGTAATATGCTTAATTTACGAAATTTGCCTATGATGCTGCATCCACAATTTCTTGGTAAGGGATATTATCCACCTTGCTATTCAATGTTATTATTCAGGTGCTCTTTTTTTTTAACAGAAAAACATTATTGGGGGTGGGGGGACTAAGCAAACTAAAAAATGAATACCTCAACCTTGCATGCATGTACTTGGGACATCAATCTCACTGATTTCACTGGGGCATACATCCAACTAAATAAATTAGGAACAGCTGTAAGGAAGTGATAGTGGAATCTATGAATATTCAGTATACAATTAAGATTTCTTCCACTATTGCAGCTTTAGAAAGGCAACCCAAAAAAACTCCCATTGACAAAAAGACAAAAATGTTATTTAAATCAAAATCTGGACGCTGTCATTTTCCATTTCAAAACTCACATTTCAGCAGGTGCAAATTCTGGGCTAAACATTCTGTATCCTTCCTTAATCCTTTTATAGAACTTGGAATCCACAGGCATTCCAGGATAAGGACTGCTTCCTGTTAACACAGAACGTATCTGTTAATATACCCTATCGTGTTTTTAAAATGAGAGGAATAAACTGTCCAAGGAACTGGCGTATGGATTTGTACCAAAGTACAGACTTGATACTCAAGTGTGACTTACCAAGAGAAAAGAGCTCCCAAAGCAGGATGCCATATGACCAGACATCGCTCTCAAATGTGTACACACATTCAAAAATACTTTCAGGCGCCATCCATTTCACAGGGAGTCGTGCCTTTACAGACAAAAGAAAGATGAGGAAAATGTATCCCTTAATAAAACAGGCTATTGTGTATTTGTATGGCTGTCAACAGGTTTTAGAATTTTTCAGCTAATTAAACCATTCGCCTCTGGACAGACTAATCATTATGATTTTATTTATATATTTTAAAGCATTTATAGTCTGCCCTATAGCATGAACTCTGGGGGCAGCGTAAAATAAGAAAAATGCAAAAAAATTGAAGAGTTTAAAATTATTGTTTTTAAAATTAATACAGCGTTTAAAACTATTTAAACATGTGTACAATACAAAACATGCAAAACAATTCAACTATTTAAAACTACACTATTTGAAATAGTATTTGAAAACTATTTGACTACATTTGTATATTACCACAATGTGGGAAATAGAAGTCGTTTACAATTTAAGAAAGAAAAGCTACCGCCCATTGTTACAAGTAATGGCTGTAACAAGCATTTGCTTGTTTATTCTGTATTACAGTAATAAAAAAATGAATGAATGAATGAATGAATGAATGAATGAATGAATGAATGAATGAATGAATGAATGAATGAATGAATGGCATCCAACAGGCCAAGGGGCCATTGGGAAGTTCTACTCCTTGGCTGCCAGGCTGAACATTACAGAGAGGGTGAAATCAGTCTGATTTCATCCTTAGAAGAAGCCAGAAGCTGTGCTTCATCTGCTCTGCCAAAAAGAACACCCGCTGGCTCAGCGACTGTAACGCAAAAGGCAAGCACTGTCTTTTGGTACTTGTTCACATGCATGAATGAGTACCAAAACTGCCTTGACCTTACAGGCCAATCATTCAAATCTGGTTGTCATTGTCAAGTATAACTTTTGCTCATGAATCCATCTATCAACTCAATTAAAGCTTGCAGAGCCAAACAAGAAAGTGATTTCCATCATAGCGCAAGGAGCTACAGAGATGTGACCACATCAGTACCACACAATACCATCAAGGCAACAAAAGGGGTGTTCTTTCAGAACATTTTTGAACATCACCTGGCTATTTCAGGTGGAAAGGATGTCACAGAATCTCCAGTAATATTGATTGGCCTGCTTTTACATTCAGAATTTTGAGATCGCATTTAATATACTGGGATGGAATTCCTTTCTGGCTTGTACTAGCAAAAATGGTTTATCTGATATCTCATAAAAATGCTGAAATTACTACTTGTGGTTACTTTTTTTTTTTAACATTTAACCTCATATCATCTGAAATCCATTCACAGGTCTGGCAATCCTTGCAACCCAAAGGATTTAGCAGTCTCTACACGAAGCTCATACTGTGCTAAACCACATTGTTATATAAGATGATGACAATGATCCCGTTTATTCAACATTGATTCATAGTATCCCTTGTTTTTTATATCATCCCATGTTGTTTTTATAGCATTCCTTCTAATTTGTACCTCCCCAACTATTTGTTTTACAAACACAATGCAAAATCTTGCAACATCAAAATAATCTTAAACCAGTATCCAAAGAAGCATGGCCTACTCGTTTTAGTACAAACACTTAGTACTACTAGTGTTAAAATACAATTCTCATTTGCTGTGTCTCATTCATTCTGTCTCAATCTCATAATCAGAACCTGTGTAGCTATAAATCCATGGCCTGAATATTGTATTCCATGTATCTATAGAAAAGAACTATGTCCATGAAAACTCAAGAGAAATAAAACTTGTCAATTTTAAAGTGCCAGAGAGGACTCTTTGTTGTTTTTACTAACTTTGCATGTTCAAATGCTGTTTTAAGGCTTGTGTTTCTTGAACATCGGTGCCTGTGCCAGATGGCAAACCTCTTTTTTTAACAACTGAAGAGTCTTCCTAAAACAGTTTGCAATGTAGCATGGAGAAGTTCCAATGCAATGAAAATAAATTTAAAAATCTAAATGTCGTTCGGGCTCTTCTAACGTAACTCTTCTGAGGCTATGACTGCACAAGCAGAAGAGTGTGAATAGATCCATGGTGAAATCACACCTGGCAAGTTGGGATTCTCTGGTTATTCTGCTTCAGTTGACCACTCAGGAATCAGCAGAGAGAGGGGATGAATTTGCCAATCAACACTTGTTAGCACCTTATTAAGGCAGTTCTGTTGCACTTGTACAGGTTTGCATAAGGCACAGTTACAGTAGAGTTATATTAACAAGCTGCAAACAAGGAGTGGCTGCCAATTTCTTCCACTCTGCTGATTTCCTCCTCCACTCCTCCCCCTTTTTTTAACCTCCTAAGTACTCTACTGTAGTAGTGCTGATGATAAGCCTTTTTAAAAATGGTTTGGAAACCAAGAGTACTTGGTTGAGGGGAATGGACATCAGTGTACCTTCTACAGAGGTGCCTCGCTTGACGAGGATAATCCGTGCCGTTGAAATAGCTACTAAGCAAAATCCTCGTCAAGCAAAATTAAAAAGCCCATTAGACTGCATTAGAAACCGGCTAAGGCATTCTAATGGGTGAAATACCTCACCGTAAAACGAAGATCCTCCATAGGGTGGCCACTTTCCGGTGCCTGTCTTGCAAAAAATGCCTCCTAAAAACAGCGGGGGGCCATTTTGAAAACCAGTGATCAGCTGTTGAAAAAACATTGTTTCGCGAAAAATTGGTTCCGAAGCAGGGAACTGATCATCGCTAAGTGAAAAAAACCCATTCAAACATCGTTTTGCGATCGCTTTTGTGATCACAAAAACATTATCGTGAAGCTGATTCATCGTTAAACAGGGTAATCGTCAAGCAGGGCACGTCTGTACTTCCTTGCTACCTCTCCTTGAACTAGGCAGCTGGCAGAGCCAGCTTCTAGTTGCCCATTGCATCAGTTCAAGTAATCAAACCACTTGAACAAATGCAAATGCATTTTTATTTAGAAAGTGGAAGCCCCAGCAGAGGAAAAAAAGTACAGATTGATGTGTGCGTGCATGCATGCATACATGCATGTGTAAATGCTGGTTTGCATTGACTTGCATGTTGTTTAGTCAATGGAAAATAACACAAATCTGACTGTCCCAAACCCAGAGCATTTTTCACAATTTTTGTTGCTGTCATTGATCCCGATTCTATTTTCCAAGTTCCAAATGTCATTATGGTCTGTACAATTACTAAATGACCAGTTGAAACTTCTGCTTTTCATCAAAAATGGGAAAAATTACTCATTTGAAGGATAACTCCTGGAACATCTTGGCCAACATAGCCTGTGTTGCCCTTGTTTTCCAAGAAAGCAACATTTCCCGGCTCTGGTTTTCATATCATCACTGTACAGTTAGTTCCTTTTCTGTAACTTTGTGGTGGCTTAGCTTTTAAATCATGGCACTTTAAATGACCCACTGTAAATGTTAGACAGCTCTGGACGGCCATTATAACAAGGACCTACTGTTTGCATCCAGGAAAACATGTATTTCTGCTGCATATAGCTACTTGAAAGGAGCAAAATGTTTGTGTTACAGAAGGAGGGAGGTGCTGTCTGCTGTCACTTTACAGCGCGATCAGGCTTCCCTTAGCATCTGCTCACGGCAGACCCGATTACTGGACATCTTCTGTTCCCAATTCCTAGCAGCTGCAGTGAAGCTCTCTGCCGACTCTTTCATACCATGAAACATCAGGTAACTGAGGACACATAAACCCTTTAATCTAGACAAATGGAAGGCAATTACTTACTGCCCACCTGCAAGCTGTCCTGCACTTAAAGAAAGAAGCCAAGATACAGTTAATTAGATTTTAAATTAATTGGTATTTCTCACTTTAGTTTCTCTGTATACAGAGACACTATTAAGAGGGATTTCAATCTAGAATTTGCTTGTCCATGTTGCTCCCGTTCTTTATATTCTCTCAGCTGCCTGTCTGTTGTATCCACACTGAAATTTTCACCAGGAAAGCAGTGGAGGTAAAAAACAAAACAAAACAGAAGTAAGATAAAAGGATGCAGTCTAAGATGAGCCAGATCCTCATTATCTCACCAAATTGCTTCAGCTGCACACACACACCCAACATACAGGAAGAGATTACAGGTTTAATGAAGAGATTTAGTTCGGAGGAAGTTTATTTGAGGGGAGGCCATTTGCAGTAAGGTAAGACATGACAGAAGGCAACTCCTTCATACCTGCTGTTTGGAACTCCAACCCAACATGCTTCCAATGGCCACCTCTCCTTCTTTCTCGGTTATGCATCTGAGAAAGAAATTATTCTGACAGAAGGCTACAGAGATGACCTCAAGCCATTGAGAACTGAGTGGAGTTCTACAATACACATCTCAGTGCTATAGGTTCTATCTAAACATACTTACATTTCCTTTGACCACATAATTGGAGTCATTCCTAATGTCTCTTGCAAGGCCAAAGTCACAGATTTTTGTGATCCGACCATGAGTAAGCAGTATGTTCCTTGCTGCCAGGTCTCTATGAATACACTGAATGGGTATTCAACAACAACAACAAACACATACACGTTACATAAGCAAACACAAACAATATTCTGCATTACAGATAGTCTATTACATCTTCTCATATGTCTTTTTAAAAATTATTTAATGCATTTATATCCTTCTCTTCATCAGAAAAGCTTACAATTCAGTAAAAAGCCTGCCAAAAGTTTTATTCCCTCTCCAAAACAAACCACCCTCAAACAAAAACAAAAACAGTTTGAAAGGAAAATAGAACATGGGTCGCTGGGAACTACAAAAACCAACTCAACATTTCTTACCTACATGGTTTGTATAAGAAGCAGCTGCGATCCTGATGCAGTGCTGATCCACAGATTGATAATTTTTTAACATAAATACATGGAATGGCAACTTGGTCTTAAATATTTTGACCAGTATTTATACCAAATGATACTTGAAGGATGAGAGAACCAGGAGACAGGATGGAGAAAGGACAGATTGTGCCATGACCCCCTCAAGGTTAAAAACAGGATGATTTTAGGTTGTTTTATCTTATGAGTTTCAGTTCTAATGCAGTTCAACTGAAATAGTAATATGAGATTGTTTCTCTTTCCCGTTCCTTAGAAAAAGGCTCCACAGAAATCAATGCGAGTGACTGATTTTAAAACATTATCTATGGGAGTTGAAAGCATCAACTCAATTTTGAACGCTTCGGCAAAATACCAATGACCCAGTTTTGGTCAGACCTGTTTCCCTTAGACCATCCTAAGACATGGCATTATCATATCCCCTCTCACCTAGCATTTTGTATGAGGAAAGTATGGCTCTGGGAAGATACACCCGCCATGCAAGAACTGGTGCCATTTAAGAATCGATGCATATATTCCCAACTTTGTAGAGCACAGGGGTAGAAGACAAGATGTAACCCACATAAAGACAATCACTCAGCACTGAAGATATAAATAATTTAAACATTGCTTTCAATGAAAAAAATAATTCTCTTCCAAGTCCCCAACTTACATTTTTAGAGGAAAGGAAGTTCATCCCCTTTGCCACTTGATACGAAAAACTTAATAGATCTTCAATGTCCAGAGCCAGTTCATCATCTTCTAAGATGGCAATGGTAACATCCTGATTAGCAAATGATCCTAAAAGCAATCCATGTGGGAATAATACATACATGGATTAATTATGGCCATTTGGGAAGACAGCAGAATTTCTATTAACAGAGCATGACACCGAATTAACACAGAGATGCTACTCAAACATATCATCTGCTATCAAAACATGAAGTAATCGTGAACCTCCTATCTAAATGCACTCACTCAATGGAAAACTGTAATATCATTTGCACCTTCAGTGTAGATTGTTAAAGTTCTGTTAAAGCTGACATTGTTTTTTTAATTAACCATCTCTTGACCGGAGTGTACAATTTCAAAACAAAAGCTTCTCTCCCTTCCTTACTGCCTGCTTACCTGTCCTTCCTGGACCTTTTTTGGCAGGTTTGGTGTGGACAATCTGAGAAACTCCTGGTTTCATATCCATATATTCATTGGTGGCATCACTACAGGAAAAAAGAAGGAATCATGTGGTTATTTAATGTATAGGACACATTTGTTAACCCAAACAAGCCAACTTTTACAAAGAAGTCACTTGGAAAACATACAATGCTCCAAATACTAAATAATGTAATGTTAAAACAACAAGTGTCTAAATCCTACTGGTAGGCCCAAACAGAGTACCCGCTTAATTAATGGTTGAACAGCTATTCCCAAACTTGTGAATCAACACATCAACATTTAACATAGATCCCACTGATTCAATGGGTTTCCTCTATTTGGGGCCATGAATTGGATCCATAGGATTTAGGGTAAGATTTCTGCAGATTGTGATGTAATTTAATTAGTGAACTGAGCGGAGGACACACAACTCAGTGGCTGAGAATCCTTAAGACTGAATCCTATCATTTCTAATGGTGGCATCTGCTAGAATTACTCATGGGCTCATACTGTTCTCCTTCATTCTCCAGCATATCTAAGGGGAAACTGGAAGCTTTCATATCTCTTTTTGATTAACCCGTCTATCATGATCTCCAAGTGTTAAACTTAACTATGGTTTGTTGAAACAAGCCATTATTATAACTGTAGCTAAAATTAACTTGAATTTCTTAGGTTCAGATGACACCATAGGCTGTAGTGCCCAACTCTCCCTAAGGAGCAATTAGCACTCGGTCAGAGAGTTCGACAGGCCACTTACCTACCACCTTTGTGCTGAGGCAAGTTCCAAGACCTCAGCAGTGTGTAGCGTAAGCCCCTTGAACAAGTCTGACCTTAAAAGAACACTTTACTTTTAGTACTTTGCAAGTACAAACACATGGGCTTTGTGATTCCTTAGAACTCACAACAGCTCAGTTAGGTGAGACTCTTAAAGATAGCTAGTTTATGGCCCTCTCCACCTCCTGGATTTAGCCAGACCCTGCTGTTCAAGAGACCAGTCCTTTTGTAAGAATTTTTATAATTAATTTTTATTAGAAAAATAGAGTTTCATAGAATCAGTTTATATTGCTCAAGCTTTAGCATAAGGAACATATTCAAAGATCATTACAGTTAAATAAAATAACTAATTCCCAATAAAATAATAAACACTACTAAGCTGGGGTAAGGTGGGCTAACCCCACCTCCTCCTTTCTCTTCACTTACATTCTCTCTCCTTCAAGCCACATGCTCAAACCATCAAGTTCTTTCTCTCTCCCATCATCATGGAATAGAACTTCTGAACCCCTTTCACATAACCCATTGTCCATTTTCTACATTCTCTAACTCTTCCCTCCTTTTTGATACTTCATGGCTGTTAACCAATTAGCCTCAAGGGGCTGTAACACCTTCCTCCTCCCTCAATTCCCATGAAAGTCCAGGTGTTTTATCTCTTCTCCAATTAGCTCAGAATGTTGAGTCTTTCACGGGCGCCTTGGTTCGGCCTTCAGTTTTATCTTGAACCACGCTGTACTGATCTTCAGAAAAACACATTCGAATATCTCTCAAATCATCTTCACACAGAACCTGTCTGACTCCATCTTACATTTCTCTGACTACATATCTCATACTGCTTCAACTCCATGACAGTGGTCAATCACATCAAAGTGAACATTTCCCAACCCTTCATGTAAGCAAGTGTTCGAGCATGTTTAGGGAGACTCGGTTTTCCTAACATGGTAAATAACGGTTTATCATGTTTGAATGAAGCCAGTCTGTCAGGGCTGCAATCTTCAGAATGCCCAGTGTGGGTTCTCAAATGACTACATGGTCCTCTGTATACAAAGCTAGATGTTGACACAGAAGAGATTATGTCAAGGAGAAGGGTTCCAACTTAATCTTCTCCATGACATATGAGTTCCATACATAAAGATAATTTTTGTATATGAAGAAATATTCTATCATGTCTGCCATCACCAGTAATCTGATACATTACAGGGTAGACAGAGTTTACCAACCTTCACAAGGCCTTACTTTTGGTGGCTTGAATGAATGTTCTACTTCATTTTGTAGCACTCTAGACAAAACTAGTAGACCTAGAAAGTTCTAACCCTTGGGCCCCAACTGTTCTCTACATCTCCCAGAAATTGGCTAGGGCAAGAAAATTTAGATCACAAGTCTGAGAGTAACTATTCTAACCATTGTTGTTAGCTCCAAGCATTTAACTCCTGCTGAATATGAGGAGCAGGAGCTGAAGTCGTTAGTTTGTAGGTAAAAGGACCTGCACTACCTTTTTATATGTTCTGTAGGAGGGAAGTATTCAGTTCATATCTTCGGCTGTGCTGCAACTTAACAGCAGTGATAGGATGGGCCCTCACATGCCCTAAAGTATCCTGCATCAACAGCTAACAAAAAGGGAAATACATGTCTGCAAGCTCCACCTCATTAATCTAAATTTTTGAGTATCGCAAAGTGTGCCAAGTGGCAAGCTGGAAGGAGTGTCAAGTTGTAAGACGATGTCTTGGCTGTGTGATTCCTAAATAAAGTTATAATCATTTAAAAACTGCAATTACCATATCTATGTTTTCATCTTTTCCCCCCAGGGACAACTGCTGACAGTCTGGGTTGACAAATACACAGACCACTGTCTGGTGCTTTGTATAAAGCAGTGTTTAAAGATCAAATCAATGGGAGATTTAAAGACTCAGCCAAAAGCCTTTGTGGAATGATTAGAGCTTTTGTATAAAAGAAAGCCAGAATGGTGTGACAGATAAGAGAGTGAGAGATATAGCATCTAGAATTCATATGAAAGCTTGCTGGAGAGCCTTTCCTTCAGTCCAAACTACTTTATAAGGTGAAGGAAGAAACAGGACAGCCATCCATGCACCACCTTGAAGTCCTCAGAGGAAAAAGAGAAATAGAAATAAGATGAACGTTTTGCCCCCACAGGATCGGTACAGGACTATTGAAAGGAGCACCACAAAAATAATGCACTGCGATTCTTTGAACATGACTGCAAGTATTGGTACCACATCCTTACTACATGTGTTCTTTCTGATGGAGGAGGTTCTTGTAAACAGCAGTTTCTTCATGCTTTGGGCAAATGAAGGAATCACGTTTTCTTCTCAGAAAATTCAAAAGGTCACCATAGCAGCAGTATTCTGTGATGACCAAAGTGGGACCTGCAGGGGTAAAAGAAGTTGAAAAACTATGTTTTGTATTCTGGCTCAGACATTTTTTAAAAAATGTTTCTCTGGCTACATGCACAAAAAGCAGACCGTTTAAAATCACATTACAGAGCAGTGTTTCAGCTAGAAAAGCGAGGGTGAAATTACGTCAGCAAAATCTCTATTCAGATATTGGGCCTTAGTTCCAATTAAAACAATGTCATGTCTAATTAATTACTTCCACACGTCAATAGTACTGCAGTGCTAAACACTCCCATACAAATTAAACAAGTCTTGTAAAAATGGTGCAAACCAGACTCATTTGTTTTATTCTGGAGCCTTCCGGAAGGAAGTTATCTGTTCCAAATACAAGCTTCTAACATAAATCCATTTGATTCACTTCTGTTTACAGTAGGACGTCACGTTCTTATAGTGACATTTTGGAAATAATATAAAATATTATGCTTTTCAGCATAATGGGAAAGGAAAAGAACCATTCAGACAGAACCAGCCAACAGAAAACTAGATGCTCCAGACTTTAAAAAACAAAAAGGGAGATGGCAGATAGGCTCAAGTTTAGAGATGGGCATGAATCTGGATCGCTGTTGTAGGTTTTTCAGGCTGTTTGGCTGTGTTCTGTGGCCGTGTCCTCTGAAGATGCTGGCCACAAAGAGTGAAGAAATGTTAGGAAGAAAAACCTGCAGAACATGGCCAAACAGCCTGAAAAACCCACAATAACCATCAGATCTCAGCCGTGAAAGCCTTCGAGAACACAATGAATCTGGATTGTTGGATTGTGCTGGATTGTCATAGTGGCACCACAGGTGCTGCACAGTCCCATCCCTCAACCCACCGAGCTGGATTCCTCCACTCACCCGATGGCACACACTACACTCCTCCTCTTCTTCAGTCATTTCACCAGTCACAGCAAGACCACAGACTTCCCTCTTCTGCCTCCTCCAGCAGCAGCCCACTCAAATGCAGCACTGTAGTAATCCCAGCCCTGCCTTCTTGTCTGAGTGGGCAGCTGCTGGAGGAGGCAGAGAAGGAAAGTCTGTGCTCCTGCTGCAACTAGTGAAATGACTGAAGAGGAGGAGAAGCAGAATTCACATCAGGTGGTGAGTGGGGGAATCCAGCCAGGGGGATGTGGGATAGGACTATGCTGCACCTGTGATGCTGGTACAACAGTCCAGATGATCCAATGATCTGAATTAATGCTCATCTCTACTCAAGTTGCCTGTGATAATAATGTTTTTATATTTAAAAATGTGCTTTCTAAATGACTGCTGCCTGTGAGCAATTTGAATATTTAATAGTACTGTCTTGGGTCTCAGTTATAAGATCTGTGGCCAGTGCTACTCTGCTAACTTATCTGGCTAGTTCCCCATTATGAACACACACAGATGCACTCACTCTTTAATTACTTGACTTCCTCTGACAGCAAAAAAATACACTGGTTTATATTGGTGCAGGGATAGGGGAGAGGTATATTTGTCAAATGCTCAGATGATCTGACTAGGCAAAGAGATATGGATTGTTCAATCAGAATTACAACTGGTATCTGTAAAAAAACTTTTGCAGCACAGAGCCCTCCTGCTGAAATTGTGGCCAGCCAGATGACTTTTCCTTTCTTCATGCTCCAGCACACAGTCCAGGTTTCCTATCTTCTCCCAGCACAAAAACCACAAACACTTCAAATAACTTTCTGTGCCGCTGAACAGTCCCAGTCTTCTTTGGGTTCCCCACAAACCCCAGGAAACCTTTTTTGGGTACTGACAATGCCCAGAATCTCTCAGCTAGCATGGCCAGCCACTTGAGGGATTCCAGGAGCAGTGTTTTGGCTTGAAACGTGAGGGTGAAATTACATCAACAGCACTTCTGTTCAAAAGTTGGACCTTGCTTCCAGTTAAAATGATGTTATTCCAAAATGGTAAAATTCCCAACCTCAGGTTTCCCTATCCTTAGCAAGGATTTTCTCCTAAAGTTTTTTCATTTAACAAAACTTCTGCAAAGCACGGTATTTCCATAAGCCTGCTTACAATACAGTGCCCCCCCTTGTATGTGGATGATGGTGCTGATTTGCTTACAGAAGGGTCAACAGACAGCTCAGTAGTTAACTATCAATACATAGGATTGTTCAAGTTCAATATGGTACTCATTTGCATCAGGGCCAGCAAATCTTTCCAATGTGTTGAGTTGGTGTTGAAGCAGCTAATGGGAAACAGAGCCTGCCTTTCTGTTACACAGTTAAAAGCAGACATGTTGTCATGGCCTCCTTTCTAGACACTCTGTGAGGAAAAAATCACCAGCTTTTCTTTGAAGTGGCAAAAAACCAAGGAATTTGCAAAAAAAAAAAACAACCCACAAAAAAACCCTTCATACCTCCAACAGTACAGGCTCCAAGCAGGTTCACAATGTTGATATGATTGCCAAGGTAACTGAGCACTTTCAGTTCTGACATCAAGGCTTCTTTTTCAGTAAAATGGGCACTGGCTAGAGAGAAAGGTGTGGTTCAGCAAATCAGCAAGCAGAAAGCAAATGGCAAACTAGCATACTTCTCATAGGAATTCCTTCCTCCAACCTACCCTTGTCAAAGTTCTTCCTTCAAGGAGCCCCTGCTCAGGCTATATTTGTGGTTTCTTCTGTATGCCAAAGAACAGTTCCTTACTTGTGAACCTTATTTATTTATTGAGTCTCCAAAGCAGTTACAAAAATTGCAGCTTCAGTATGATACATTATGAGGAGGATGGCATATTCTGATGAAGTATTGTTAGGGTTCTGACACATACATTTATTTCTCTGGCAGTGCTCCCTGATTTTAGAATGCATTGAGACCTACGATCTTTCCCACTCTATTGCTTTTAAGATGTACACATGTATCTTTCATTATGACCTTGTTAAAACTGTTTTGATACTATAATGATTTTAAGGGTTTGGTGGTCTAAATTATATTTTGTGATAACCATTACACCACTTGAACTCAATTTTTCAGTGAAAAGGGTAGGATGAAATGTAATCCCAGATAAAATAATAACATCTTACAGTCTCACGCTGTACTTTCTTACTTTGGAACACTTTATATGGCAAACCTGCTCAAACTCTCCTCAGAAATGAGGTGGATGGCTAAGGGGGAAAATAGGCCTTGTGACTGTTCTTGACTTCACTAACTCACCAAGCAGACTTTCCAGGTTCATTCTCTGTTGGTCAGCATTAAGCCAGTTATGTTATGAAAGAATTTGCTGTTGAAGATGTAGAGGAGTGATGCCTTTTTATGTGAGTTTTAGATAGTTGCAAGCTATTGCTGCTTCATTGTATGGTTTTCTATTTTGGTCCACATGTTGCGTTTGAAGCCCTCTGAGCAAGAGGACAGACAGTAAAGAAAATAAATGGAATAAACTGAAAGCACTGGAACTTACGTTTGAGCATTTTTACAGCTACTCGTATTGCCCCATCAGGTTTGAAGAGACCATAGGCAGTTGCTTCAACAACTTTCCCAAAAGCTCCAGCTCCTAGAGTCTTACCTACAAGATTTCCAGAGAGCATAAAAAAAAGTTCAACACAATGCATTAGCAATCCACAGAACGAGTCATAATATACAGAACAATCTTATCTATTTTGACATCTTGGATTAAACACAAGGAAAGGTGATGGCAAGATCCAGAAACAGTGTCCAGGAAATCTAATGGGTATCTCTAAATTATCCCATGAAAGGGAAAAGGAGTCGGAAAAGCTATGCCACTTTCTGATAAGCACAATCTCCAGCACAAACAAAACTGTTATTTTAGTCCCCAAACTATTGCCTGTGGCAGGCAGAAAGATACAAGCAAGACTTGGAAAATGACTTTTTTCGACTACAACTTGCAGAACTGAATTTGAAAAGCTCAGGAAATGGACCACATGGAGGACTAGCCTGTGGAAACCACAGTACCCAGTGTGCTGGACTCAGCAATTACCGTCCTTGCTTAAGCTTGCTCTGCTGACCTTTGTTTTAAAGGGTAATGAGTTTCTTAAACTACCTGCACAAAAATTAGCATTCTTACACTCTTCTGCCCAATGGCCAACACAATTCTGATGGCATACCACTGTAGGAACCTGCTTACTTTTAATTGCTAGCAAAATCAAATGAGTACAAACTAACCAAAACATAGCTGGTTTCTTGGAAACTCCCATTTGTCATCATAAGGAAGCTGTGTTGGGTCTATGTAAACATAGTTGTTCCCATTTATTTCATCCACTACCTTCCACTGGACCTCATATTTGGGCTTCTGGAAAATAGTTGTGAACATTGTAAGAGCTTGGACTATGAATATGAGGCACATAAACAGCTGATGGACACTTTAGCTATATACAGTCCTTACCTGGAGATATTTGTACATAAGCACAATGACGGTAATGCACATCAATCCTGCTGCGACTCCAAAGCCAATTAATAAAGGAGTGAAAAGGGTATGGGTACTGACTTGTTCTAGAAAGAGACACACAAAAAATAACCTGGCTCAAGATGTGAACAAAGAAAATTGGAACATGAATCTGACCCTTGGCTCTTTCCAATGTTGGACTATAGTGCACATTAACTCAAAGGGATTACCCAAGTGTTGATTTACCTTTCGGCAGTTGATTCAGACTGTGTGGGGGACTAACAATAGTGTACTCACCAATACCTGGCAGTAGAAAAAAAGACCACATCATTCTAAAATGCATCTTAATGTGCTTTTGTTGACATATCGGAACACAATTTTCAGGTTAAGATGTGGAAAATTTGTGCAAAATCCTGTGTTAAACTATTGTAAACTATTGCCTATTATCAACATTCTCACCTAGCCATGGGGATGCATATAAATATTGGACATGTATTTGCACTTCTGTGTCCGAAGAAGTAAATTTTGATAACCTCACACCAAAATTAATAAGGTCACACTAAAATAAAACTCTTAGTCTTTAAAGTGTTAAAATGGCCAAACCCCTTTTGGTTAGCATAGTAAATCACACTAGACTAGGCTGACTGAATCAGTGGGAATTTGGTTAGTCAATTCTTCCAGTAGTTCCACTGATTCAACCGGGCCAATTCTAAGTGCAATTAATTACTCTGCAATTCAGATCTGTCTACTCCAATTGTCACTTAACTCAGCATAGTAAGTTGCAGTTACAGTTGGTTTATTTAAATCAATGGATCATATGGAGGAGTTGACTCATCAAATCCCTATTGATTCAATGGGCCTACTCTAGTGGGATTTACTATGCAAAGTAATTTTGGAATGTGGATGAATTATTTTATCCTTTTGTCAATTTAACAAGAAGGAAACAGATCTTTGTGTAGTCAATAGGATCTACTTGATAAAAAAAAATAATGATGAAAGTAACATAAGAGGGACAGTTGCACTGTAACTGTGAAATAAAGTTAGCCCTTCTTTTGTTACACTACAACAAATATTCTGTCATTAATCAGAAAAAAGAATGAATTTGTTATCTCAAAATAGTTAACCCCAACCTTTGGAATAGAGAAGATAAAGTTATTATGAAGAAGAAAAATAAATTTCTTTATGCATTGATAGCCCCAGAATGGGACATGGTGCGTTGTGGTAAAAGGCAAAAGCTATTCATTGTAGCAAAGGGTTTACAGTATTATAAGCAGAATATACATTATACATTCTGTTTGTTACCTTTAACTTCAATGTTGAAAAAAGCTGTCCGCTTGTCAATGGCATTGGAAGCCTCACATATGATTGTGCCATTGTTTTTAAACATGCTGGCATCAATGGTGCTTTCAACAACTATCTTTCCAAAGGAAGGAAAGGGTGACCCATTATGGCTGGTTCTCACATCCACTGGAGAAATGTTTTGTGAATCTGAACATCTGGAAGAAACAATTCACTTGGATGAAATAACCTGGGAAACTGACTATATGCATAGTGTGTATACATTTTCTATAACAATATATATATTGTGCCAACACATTGGCTGTGTTTGCACAGAACAAGGATTCTGAAGAATCCTCAATTATCATTCATTCAGACATACTGCTGCACACTGCCCAATAGCTTTTGTCTGGCTCTGTCCATCAGCAGAAGGGCTTAAAGTAAGTAGGAACTTACCAGCATGAAAAAGGCTCAGTGTTACACATAAACTTAGCTCCTGCCTACTCCCAACTTTGGCAGGAATCATAATCCAGTTTCAAATCCTGTTTTCAAACTTCAGATTGTAGAGGAGTAACAAACCAGACTGTATATCAGTGGTCTGGGAACAGGGGTAAATTACCCCAAATGGGGTAAAAGTGAAAATTCTGGGGGTAATGAGCAGAGCGCTACCCTTCATTGGTTGCAGCAGGGCACTTGTAAATCCGTTCTTTCAGAGATTGGAGATAAGCCTGCTTGATTGGTTACAACTGTAGAATAGCCCCAGGCAGTCAATCAATCCGGGGCTTGTGAATGACTGCTTCTGCCAGATATGACTGCAAGCAAGCAGGAGGAGGGAAAGGATCCAGTTAACGAGGGAAGATGTGAGAGACTGAGGGCTTCATCAAGCTTGTGTGGATGTGTGTGTTCATGTGAGAGACTGACTCAAAACTATAAAAGAACAGGCAAGGCTTGAATTAAGGTGGGAAAAAGGGTGGCTTCATCAAGCAGCTTTCAAAGTAATTCTGAATAGATTCAATAAGATTTTGAATTCAAATACTGTATCATTTCCTTCCTTTCAAATCAAGGGGGTAATGTTAGCTTATATAAGTTTTTTGGGGGGTAAAAGGTAAAAAAGTTCCCTGACCCCTGCTGTATATTGTCTCCCTGCTTATTTTATATGCCAAATACATCATGCTGGACTGGATGAATCCCAAACCGGAATTAAGATTGCCGGAAGAAATATCAACAACCTCAGATATGCAGGTGATGCCACTCTGATGGCAGAAAATGAGGAGGAATTAAAGAACCTCTTAATGAGGGTGAAAGAGGAGAGCACAAAAAATGGTCTGAAGCTCAATATATATATATAAAAAACTAAGACCATGGCAACTCCAGGAGGCAGTGGAAGACAGTAGGACCTGGCATGCTCTGGTCCATGGGGTCACAAAGAGTCGGACATGACTTTACAACTAAACAACAACAACAACAAACCAGAAATCCTGATGACGATGTACTTGCTGAAACCATTCCTGCTGGCCAGAAGAACGAAATAGCAATGATCAGACCGCCTATACCAGCACATGTGGTAAGGAACAATAAACCAGGGAGGTCTGAAAACCAGTGGCCAGGATCCTGTTTGTATACACAGTGTAAGCCAGAAATCACACAAACAGTATGTGTACTCTGGCTGCCTGCCTACCCATTGCACAAAGAGCAACACACTTAATCAACTCATATAATTAGGGACAGAATGGAAATTTCCCAGACTTGGACAAAATATTTTTGGACTATAAATCCCAGCACCAATCCCCTTGCTTTTGTTGTTGTTTAGTCATTAGTTGTGTCCGACTCTTTGTGACCCCATGGACCAGAGGATTTTTTTTTCCAATTTTAGTTTGTTTGTTGTTTTTTTTGTTTTTATTTTATTTTTTAATCTTTACATCACATGGATTTCAGGTATTTTCTACAATTTCTAAGTCCAGTATTTTTATAGATTCAAAGAAATGTCTGGTTTCAGCAATATGGATTCTTATCATATGGGAGGTAGGATCTTTTCCTGAGACAACCACATTTGAAAAACCTTGAGAAACTTCACAGATTGCCAACATTCCAACAGGGATCAGGATGTGGTGGGGTATTATTTAGTTCATTGATGATCCAGACCCCTGGCAACAGCTTTCTTTCTCTGCACTCTCTCATTCCTGACTAAAAGCACAACTATGATATTGAATTAAATCAGAAGCTGGTTCTGATTTTTAATGTTACTTGGTTTTTGTGTTAATGTATGTGTCCTCATGGAACAACTTTTAGTCTGTAAGCTGTGTGGTATTTTATCACTTTGGTGCTCTGGGTCCTAGTTTTCCTGGTTTTTCCTCTATTGTTGTTGTTTAGTCATTAAGTCGTGTCTGACTCTTAATGACCCCATGGACCAGAGCACGCCAGGCCCTCCTGTCTTCCACTGACTCCTGGAGTTGGGACAAATTCATGTTGGTAGCTTCAATGACACTGTCCAACCATCTCATCCTCTGTCATCCCCTTCTCCTCTTGCCTCCACACTTTCCCAACATCAGGGTCTTTTCCAGGGGGTCTTCTCTTCTCATGAGATGGCCAAAGTATTGGAGCCTCAGCTTCAGGATCTGTCCTTCCAGTGTTTCCCTTGCTAGCATTGGTCTAAAAGGTAACATTTCCAAAAGGTGGCTGTTCCTGATGTTGGCCACCCTAGAAAACATTGGTAAAAGCTCTTTCTTCTCTTTCTCATTATATATTGTGATGCTGCAATTTAAAATCCCTTTAGGATGAAGCATACATACTGATTTGAGAAATCTTGCCATTGTTGATGACAAATGTGTATTTCAGGAGAAAACCAAGAGAAAAATAAGTATTGAAAAATGATTCACAAAGAATTGTATTATCTGCTAGCAATAATGCTAAGAACGCTGTCAAAATAAGCAAGTATTTTATAATCCTGTTTGCAAATCCTTTACCTGCACTGGAAGTACATACAATCTTCTTAGAAACTTGGTAATTACCTTTGTAGTTAATTCTTTTCTTTGCTCCAAGCTTACAAGACACATTTACCATATAATCTACTGTGTGTAAATGGAAATCTAATTACACTGTGTCTTGGAAAATTGTGTTATTACATGATAAATCCCAAAGATAGTAGCCATACACAGAACCTATTTTGTAATTGTCATTCTACAGGGTTAAATAATTAGAGCCAAGAATAGCCCAGTTGTAAGTGGGTGCAAGTCCTCCAAAGACTGATTTGGCCCTTAATGTGAGTCAGAAATTACAGTGACTCCTTCAAGTACAAGAAGCAAAGAACAGAATGTTCTGTAAAAAAATTAAGTGAGTTGTGAGTGCTAGGAAGGGAAGACCTCCTGGATTGACCACCAAGGGGGAAATGGAAATTAACGTTGTTTAATTTAACCCCTCCTAGCCATATGAGTGGGAATGGCAGCATTCCTGCTGCCCCATACCTGATGTTGTTTCTGGCTTCCTCTTCCAGTGGTGCTGTTTGCAGAGCTAGTTTGATGCACTATTCAAGCACAGCTGTACATATCTTTGCAACTGTGCATGGCTGGCACATAACTCCTGTGACAACAGAACGAGGCAACAGGCTACTTGAAGGGATTGGAGAAGGGGGCAATGCCCCCTCATCTTTCGTGCTACTCATCTCTCCAGTGACCATTAGAGGAAACCAATTACTTTCCTTGATCTATTTTGCAGAGCCCAATGGGTATGTTATGTTTAAACCATAGCATTCCAAAACATTCTTTTAGAATACCTGGAGTCCCTCAACTGGCAAGACCCCCAGTGACTCTCACTTATGAGCAAGGCTGATGCTGGCTGAGAAATTCTGTAGCTACAATAACATGAAAACAAAAGTACATCCCCTTTGAATTCTGTGGTTTTACGTATAAGAACATAATAAAAATCATCTGGTCTTTAGCAGGTCTGAAAATTAGGCAAATACAACCTCAGATGAACAACAACACATGACATTTTACACCGGGTCATGACTTATTTTACAAAAATAAGTTCAAATAATGATAAACACCCCCCCCCTTTTTTTTGCTTCCATAGGAATTAAGAGGCTAAGGACCAGTCAGGTGCTGCTAACCAAATGCCCTTAAGTAATTGATCTTCAGCAAGTGTGTCCACCTCTATAAAAGCCAAAGTTTTATCAGTTTGCTGGTCTGGAGCATTCAGGTGTATGTTAACAGATTGCTAAGGAGGAAACACATCAGCAATGATAATAAAAAAGCAATTGTTGCTGCCTATTAATCTGGGAAGGGTTAGAAGGCCATTTCCAAACAATGTAAAGTCAATCATTCTACAGTGAGGAAGATAATTCACAAGTGGAAAACAAGTGTTGCCATTCTTCCCATCTTCCCAGGAGTGGATGTCCAAAGTAAATCCACCCCAAGGTCGGACTGTGCAATGCTCAGAGAAATTGAAAAAACAACAACTTCAAAACAAAGCAAAACCCAAGAGTTACATCTCAGATACCACAGGCCTCAGTTATGTGAAATGTTAAAAGTCATGACAGTACAATTAGAAAAAGACAAGAAGAAATATGGTTTGTTTGAAAGAGATGCCAGGAAAAAAAGCCTCTTCTCTCCACAAAGAACATGACAGCATGGCTTCAATTTGCAAGGTTGCATCTGGACAAACCACAAGAGTTCTGAAACAATGTCCTTTGGACAGACAAAACCAAAGTGGAGATGTCTGGCCACAGTGCACAGTGCCAGGTTTGGTGAAAACCAAACACAGCACATCTGCACAAATACCTCACACCAGCCTTCAAGCACAATGGTGGAGGGGTGATGATTTGGGCTTGTTTTGCAGACACAGGACCTGGGGACCATGCAGTCATTGAGTTGGCTATGAACTCCTCTGTATACTAAAGTATTCTACAGTGAGGCCATCTGTCCGACAGCTTGGCTGAAACTGGGTCAAGCAACAGGACAATGATCCCAAGCACACCAGCAAATCTACAACAGAATGGCTGAAAAAGAAAAGAATCAAGGTGTTGCAATGGCCCAGTCAAAGTCCAGACCTCAACCTGATTGAAATGCTGCGGCAGGACCTTAAGACAGCTGTACATAAACAAATGCCCACAAACCTCAATAAACTGAAGCAATGTTCTAAAGAAGAGAGGGCCAAAATTCCTCCACAATGATGTGAGAAACTGATAAAAGTCATACAGAAAATGATTACTTCAAATTATTGCTGCTAAAGGTGGTTTTACAAGGTACTGAATCATGTACTTAGCATTTCTCCATTTTGGCTTTATTTTTGTAAAATAAATCATGACACAGTGTAATACAGTATGTCATGTGGTGTTGTTCATCGGAGGTTGCATTTACCTAATTTTCAGACCTGCAAAGGACCAAATGATCTTTATTATGTCCTGATATATAAAACCACATAATTCAAAGAGGGTGTACTTTCTTTTTCACCTGACTATATCATCCCATAAAAAGTTATTTTTCCAAGCTCTGATTTGAATAACTGGTGCTGATTATATGAACTGCAAGTATTTATGATCAACACTCAGACGTCACAGAAATGTTACTTAGTATAAAAATGTACTCAGTCTACTCAAAACTTGAAACTCAAATGAAACAATGATTCATCTACTCACCTTTGCTCAGGTCCTGGGCAAATATACCAGTTCACTGTAGGGGCAGGGTAGCCTGCAGCCACACAACGAAGCATGCCATTGCCAAGTCTCTCCGAAGTGACGATTTCTGGTTTGGCTGAAAATAAATTGGCATGATAGCTACATTCTGTGGATCTGTGTTTAATGGTATCTTTCTACTTCAATGTGTGGGGAATGCACACTGCAAGTAAGGTGTCAGCCAAAGGGTGTAATCCTGTGTCCACTTGCTTGCAAGTAAGGCCTACTGAGCACTGTGGAACCTCCATCTGTGCAAACACTGCACAACAGGCATGAGGACGACACTGCACACAGGAGCAGAAACCCTGATTTTCATCTTTACAATGCTTATGGTGTTGGTGCTCACAGCATTTTATACACTTGACCCACGGATACCCCGATAACAGCACTTGAAAGTCAGGCTTCCCTCGTTTATGGTCACTTTGTATAATGGAACTCCATACTAAGAGAGGTGAAGTTTGCCCTCTCCCTCCTGTCCTAGCAGCAGGCAGGGGCTTTTTGTTGTTGCTGCTGTTGTCGTTCATGGAGACCTTCAGCAATTATAAGCCTGAATCATAACATCTTAGCCGATGTGCCGGTCATTTCATTTCTTCCCCCCCCCCTAAAGTAAACTACTATTGGTGGCTTTAATCAAGTGATTTTAAGTCTTTTAATTTTAATACCATTTTAATAAAATGATGAATTTTTTTTAATTGCGTTTTAATTTCCTATGGTTTGAACATCAGTTTGTAAGCTGCCTTGTGCTCCTATTCTGGGAAAAAGGCAACAAGCCATCCATCCATCCATCCATCCATCCATCCATCCATCCATCCATCCATCCATCCATCCATCCATCCATCCATCCATCCATCCATCCATCCATCCATCCATCCATCCATCCATCCATGGCTCTCTTATTCTCCAAAAAGTTGTTGGCAAGGATCAAAAACAAGCAAAAAGAAGGGGGATTCAATCCATCTCCCACCCACTGCATCCACACACTCCCCTTAGCATTGAGTAGAGTGAAGAGGATGTAAAAGGAAATTCAAAGAAATTGTTTAACCCCTCTTTTTAAAAAGTGGTTTTCCATTAAGTCATAATAGGTGGGCATCTTGTAGCTCTTCGCATGTCTAAAATCATCATACCTGAACATCTCTTGCTAATGATCTCTCTCTCTCACTCTCTCTCTCTCTCTGAATGTGAAAACATTTCCTGCAAAGATAACTGTATGCACTGATTGGGCTTTCCCCAAGCATTTCGAATTGCCTGTTCAAGAGTTTTGTATTTTGGGGGTATGTCCTAGATGATCAATGAGAGCCAACGTGGCATCATCAATAGAGTGCTGGACTATTTCAAATCCCTATGCAGCCATGGAAACTCACCAAGGGGTGACAGTAGTAAATCACTCCCTGAACCTCTAATATACCTCAAAAATCTATTAGAGTCAACATAAATCAGAACCATCTTGACAGCACAGAACAATAGCATAGATAATAACTCTACTTCTTGAGTGGGATGAGGGAAGATAACCATTCTCTTGATGTGACTGGATAAAAATTCCCATCATCCTTCACCATTTAAATATGCTGGCTACAAATGATGGGCAGTTGTGGTTGAACAGCATCTAGAGGGCCACATATGAAATTAAAATTAATTTCTTGTTATGCTGCTGCTGCTCCCAAGGCAATACACTTTATTGCACTTAAGAAATAACAGAACTGTTGTTTTTAAAGGATTATTATCTGTGCCCAAGAAGAGACAGCAGCTATAAATAAGATTTACAGACATTTATGTTAGCTGTCTTTGAAAATTTTTCAGAAGAACCAGTACACCAAGGAAAAACTTTTGACAGACTTATCCCTAACATCCTGTAAGGATTTGTTTAATGGAGGAATTGGACAGCTCTAACAGGAACCAAGGCAAATATACCTTGGAAACATCCATGTGTAAGTCTTGACACTCACTGTCAGTATAAATCCTCATCTACAAAGGGAAAACTGTAAGTGGAAAAACTTAATGTTGAGAAAAATCAGGTATTTGACTGTAACATGTATAGAACTGTAAGAACATGGACCATTTATATCTCTGGAGGCTGTGGATGAAGACCACTAAATTCTGTATGCATTCGTATTTCCTCACCATCCAAATGTGAAATCTGCTATAGAAGTGATGTTGAAGATGTGCCTGTCCAGATATTGTTGTGGACTGCCACTCCCACCATTCTTCATCACTTGTTATATCAGCTACGGCTAGTGGGAGCTGTATTCCAATGGAATCTGGAGGCTCATGGATTGCCTACTGTGGTGCTACAAGAACTGAAAATGTTCTCTTCCTTATCTCTCTATTTGCATATAATATTTCTGTCAAAAAAAATCAAGCCAACCAACCATTTTGCAAAATTGCCTGGGCTGATTTGCCTCATGAGTCAGGTGAGCACCAGAGGCAATCACCAGTAACATCCTGGTCAGGGAAAATAGTTTCAGGCAAGTTGAAAGCTGTTTTATTTATTTAACTGGCAAACAGTCCTTGTCATTAACTAGTATTCTCCATTTATTGCCATAATTTGTCTGTCAAGTCACTCTGCTACCTGAGAAACAGAAGCTAAGAGAAGATATGATTACACTACACCAAAAGTCCAGAGAGGTCCTGCTATTATGTATGAACTGTGTACTCGTGCAAAAAGCCCATTCATGCTGGCTTTATTATTATTATTAGTTTTATTTATATGCCGCATTTCTCCCAACAAGGGACCCAAAGTGGCTTTGTTACTCCTGTCAGTGGCAGCAATAAACAAACCAGGACTCTAGATTTCTAAGTATCCCATGAAAATGTGGGAAGCTAGCTTGTTGCTCTCTCCACAATATAAAATCGCAAGCCAAAGTTTGTTCTGGTTTCCCTTAACAATAGCTCAGAAACTTCTGTACGTTCAGAAGATGAAGCCATTTAAATCCATTCTGTCAAAACGTTTTTGTGCCACAATCATCCTAGGCAAGTCACAAGTGTTGCTTCATGAAAAACAAATGCCCAGTCAGCAAATCAATTTTCCTTGGCCCAAATTTTAATCAAGACGCAGGTAAAAATCCTCCACAAAGTCCTACACTGCTGTGGTCATGGCATACTTGCTCTGACTGATTCTACCAAGATGTCAAGTATGGTCCTGGTGGTGGACTGTGTATCTGCTCTTGAGGGACCAGGCCACATAAATATGGCCAGTCTTCAGCACTGGGGACACAATAACAGTGTAAAATGAACGTAGTCCGCTCACACCAACACAATCACAAATCTTCAAGGAATTCCAGGCAGATCACAGAATGCTGACCACAGTTTCAGTTGTCAGAGAAAGAAATCTCAAAAGGCACAAAAGCTAGCTCCCCCCCACCTCAGTATTACATCTGTCTTTTGTTTTCTGTATAATGCCCTGAACTGTGCCAGAACACACAGTGCTTTTCACATTTGCAAAATTTTTGTGGCAACTTTAACACAGAGCCTGAGTGGTTAGAAGGGAAAGGACTACACAAAGAAAAAAAAAATAATAGTCCATGCCTTCAGACTGCTATCTGTAGAACAGAGTGGTCTTAACCGACCAGATAGGCGGGATATAAATAAATAAATAAATAAATAAATAAATAAATAAATAAATAAATAAATAAATAAATAAATAAATAAATAGAACAGAGTGACACTGAGATTATAGAGATGAGCCCCTCCTGACAGTCTATTCAGCATACACATTCTGGGAATGCTGATTTGACATAAACGTTTTGAACATGTATGAATCCCTACAGTTCTGTATTTGTATTATATTCTTGCTGAATCTCCTTACATCCTGGAGGTGAACTGTGAGAAGGATTTTTCAAACAATGCCACAAGATGAGGAAAAAAAAACATAAAATGGCATTTCTCTGATGTATATTTCAGGCTGAAGTTGCAAGGGGTTCATTGGTACTTAGGATAGGTGGTGGGCTGGACAGAGCCCTCCATCTCCCAGATATTTGGGAGAGAACGTGTGCCCCAACCATCAAATCCATCTGCATTCCTGCTGTATTATGCACTTGACTGCAGGTCCTCTAAATAGGCTGAGAGAGCCTCCCCATGGGACCTGAAGTTGCATGAAATTTGTGTAATGTTTCTCCTTATGAACTGTGTTACGCAACTGTGGCATACAGATGAGTAGGGATCAACATGGAGGACTGCAGATTTCTGAAAACATAAAGATAAAATGTAACCAGCCACTAGACTGAATCCCAGGCTGGTAGCTGCATGTTACAGTTTGTTAACAATTAAGATTAGCTGTTTTTCATACCTCTGTCACCCCAGAACATATTCATGGGCTATCCCTTAATGAGAACTCCAGCATCGGCTGTTTTCTGTAATACATACAATGTTAACCAAGCTACCCAAAAGCAACAACATTCATTTTGCTGAGGTGAACCATAATGATTCTCAGCCAACTATTGCTAGTCCTCTTTGTGGAACTGTCACTCAGTTTGAATGGAGCTTTGAACCTTATTGCCAAGATACAGATTCAACTATTTATTCATCTTGGCTTTGGAAGCAGGTTTTCAAACATGGATTTTAAACATTACAGACTGGCATGTCTTCTCAGTTGTCCTAAGTTTAAAATACATTTCAAGTGTCTCATTAAGATCTGTTTTCAAGAGGGATCGCTGTGTTAGTCTGTTGCTGGAAAAGCAACCAAGAAGCTTGTGGCATTTGATGAAGCGGGGCTAGGTCCATAAAAAACCTGTGCAGAATAAATATTGTACCACATGGTGCTACAAGACTTTTTGCTGCTTTCCTTCAACTCATTTCGCAAACAATCATCCATTCAGAAGTGGTGATCCAGTTTGGCTCATAGAACTCGTTTCCCTTTGAGGTGATCTTTATGATCTCCTGCTTCATCTCATGTCTTCTTCTCCTTGGGTTCCCTTCTGATCCTTTCTGGACCCCATCATAATTTTGGAAATTCTTTAACCGATTCATACCTGCACCCAGCAGGAAGAGATGAGACCATTACTTTATTTGTGCTTAATATTATGGAGATGTACAGTCATTCTTCAAACTAAGTATGAGACTCTAAGGAGGTAGGTGTTGCTTTACAACCATTTGGGACCCATTCTTGCCTTATATGTTAGGGCAAGCCAGACTATTCCCTGCCTGCCTCTTTCACATCTGAACCCATTTCTTTCAGATGTGAGGGTGTCGTACATGACTCAGGGTGAGGATGTCAAGATTTCCAATCAGTGATTCTACAGAGCCCATTGATCACCTTGGTTCCTCTTGTCTGCATCTGTTTCACTTCTGCACAAGCCTGCATTAGTTCATCAAAGCTCCTACCACAATCTGCTCCAACTACTAACCTAGCCAAGCAAACGAATAGAACAGAAACAGCAAACTCACAAAAACTCACAAACAACACACATGCACGCGCACACACAAGCACACGCACACACTCTTCATCCCTTGGTGACAATATGATTCACCAAAAATCATAGCCGAAACTTCCTATCCAACCAGACACTCTTATAATGGAAACAATATGGTGCAAGATCCTAAACAGAGGCAAAAGGAAGCTGGCAAAGGTGGTACAGACAGGACCCAACTAAAGGTCCAACTTTAATGAGAGCTACTTCTTGTCCTGTCAAGAGAAAATGTGGGTATCTGTTTAAGGTAGTTACAGGGGTGGGTGGATTAAAGCCCATATGCTTCCTTTGATAAGGCTCTGCTCCACATCAAGAGATCTATACTTGTTGTGTATGAGACAAAAATCCTGCACTCAAGGGAAAACTCTGTTGGTTGTTGTGGGTTTTTCGGGCTCTTTGGCCGTGTTATGAAGGTTGTTCTTCCTAACCTTTCGCCAGTCTCTGTGGCCGGCATCTTCAGAGGACAGCAACCTGTGCTTATTTCATGTGCAGTTTGGCCCGTATGTGCTTTACCTTTGGCACAGCGATCCAAAAGGCTGGGCCCTGGGTTGCAGATTCTTCCCCAGCACATTATAGCAAAAACACATATCGGCACCATATCTATTAGCTTCTGCTAATTAGGAGGGAAAAGATATGGGCAATAAAAGCAATGTAAACAAACTCAATGGTGCAGAAGGGATGACTATTGAGATGCAACAGTAGGAGAGTAACCTCTTTAAGCTATCTTGAAATCTATATTGACAGTAGCTCAATAGCACTTAATAAACTAATGAAATTAGAGATTTAAAGCATTTAATAGCTGATTATTGACAAGAAGATGAAGCTATGCAAAACAGCGCAATGAAATGTTCAATAATTAATTTGTTGTAGCTAGAGCAGTGAGCAATATATACCCATCAGCACCTTCATCTTCTAATTTTGGGGACAGCTAAAAACAGTGGAGTGCATCCAGCCAGCTTCTCCTCAGGCATTGAGAGACACCAGGAGGGAAACATATCCACACTTGGTAGTATGAAGAATATACAGTACATGTTCACTTATCTCATTCTTCGAGATGAAAATGAATTTTTAAAAAGATTTTCTCCCTGCTGAGAAAGATAATAATTTTTGCTCTTTAAAAACATGCATTTTGGAACTTCTTTGGTGAAAATAGTTTTCTTTGCACAAAATGCAGCAACAGTGTAAGAAGGGGGGAAGAGTTATATATTTTGCACAAAATACAAAGATTTGTGAAAACTTGCATTCTGTGCAAAAATATAACTCTCCCCCCGATGCTGTTGCTGATGAGGAAGAGGGCTAGTCTTTCCTCTCTTGTGTAAGGATGAAAAATTTCACAGCAGTTGGCCATTTTTCTGGCACATGGAAACATCCTCTTTTATTGTGGTTAAGAAAATATATGGCTATTTGTGACATACTTAGCTAGCCTCACCTATGTTCTGATCATTTTTTGTGCCATTGTCTATGCTGGCTGTGGGATTCTGAAGAAGATTCTTGATTAAAAAGTTCTAAAAGAATGGGCAGCACTCTGGAAGGATGATATCTGAACAACAGCCTTTGGCCTTGCTCTCAGTTTGCAAACCATCTTCCAGGCATGGGACTGTAACATCTGGTATGTGCATTTTGTTTTAGACAAGTGCAATGATCTGTGATACAACAATATTGTAGGCTGCTCTTTTCTACTTACTGTTGACATAGACATTAAATGCTATAGAGGAGCTGGCATCTGAATTGGACACAAAAAATGTGTAAATGCCTCCTTCTGTTCCTTTCAGGCGAGTAAGATGAAGCTCACTAGAATATCTGCAGAAGGAGGAAGAAATGCAATTTTACTACTCATGTTACTCTTCACGGTACCAACAGAAAGGCCAATTGGTATCACAGGGTGTTAGTGAAATTATATTGATTATTCAGACAACGATCCTTATGTATTCGTGAAGGCTTCCATGGCCAGGATCTAATGGTTGTTGTGGGTTTTTCAGGCTCGCGCATGGACAGAACTCCTGTCCTCTGAAGATGCCCGGCCACAGAGACTGGCGAAACGTCAGGAAGAATAACCTTCAGAACATGGCCAAAGAGCCTGAAAAACCCACAACAACCAATGATCCTTATGCTTTGTTCACTGAAGACCACGATTGGGGGCTGTATCATTCTTTCAAAAACAACAACAACAACAACTCTGCTACATTACAGCCACTACATGGAAGGAGCCCGAAAAACCCAGAACAACCAATGATCCTTATACTTTGTTGCACTGAAGACCACGATTGGGGGCTATATCGTTCTTTCAAAAACAACAACTTTGCTACATTACAGCCACTACATGGAAAGCTGTTCAAGAGTGCCTGAATCAACATGCTATTCCTTTTATGTACTGATGCAGTTTTGTGACAGCAGAGAGCACAAGCAAGTGTCAGCATCAGTCAACACAAATGCAAGAGTCTGAGTCTCAGCAATTTAATGCAACAGTAAGAACACTGGGTATTAAGTAGGTTCACACTTTAAAATTTAAAGTCCACAAAGCACAGCAGTCACTGGCTGAAATTTTGTTCCATATGCTGGTTGATTATGTCATTTTTGAGAAATAAATCATTTCTAATTTCTCTCCTAAAGGTCCCAGGACTCCCCTGAAACTCCCTTCATGGTAGGGAACACATGTAGGCTGCAGGATGGGAAGGGGGACTCTTTTAATTAGAGAGGAGCCTTGTGGCGCAGTGGTTAAATTGCAGCACAACAGTCAAAACTCTGCTCAGTCCTGAAGGGCTTGGGTTGGCTCAAGGTTGACTCAGCCTTCCATTCTTTCATGGTCAGTAAAATGACTATCCAGCTTGCTGGAGGGGCAATGTGTAGTCTGTATAATTAAACTGTAAACCACCCGGAGTGCTTTAAGCAGTATACAGTATAAGCAGCACACTTTGCTTTAATTCCTGAAAATCACAATTTGGTGCAAGGATAGCTTTCCTAATGGTGGCAACGTTCAGAAATTAAAGAGTTACCCCTCCCATCTGCAGCCCCTGTGGGTTCTCTACAATGAAAGGGGTTACAGGGGGGGTCTCAGGGCCTTTAGGGAAGAAATTGGAAATGACGTATTTGTGAAACATCACTGCGGCTGATGACATCATTGGCTTCACAAGAGTAACTGATGCTTCAGACACTGTGTAGAATTCACCAGGTCCCTATCAACTAGTTGATACTCTGGAAGCTGATCCATCACAAGTATATTGTATGCTGGGAGGCTAAATGATGCTAAAGCAACAACTCTAAACCCACTTACTGGGAAGAGAATCTCAACAAACACAGTGAAACTTACTCCTAAATAAAAATATTTAAGACTGGGTTAAGTAAAAATTTCTAAGAATGTGTGGCAAGTCCTCTTTGAGTTCAGGGGAAAAATAAACAAACTGAAGGCTAATCCAGGTGGAATGTTTGTCTCCCTATATGACTCTGTGATGATATTGCTTTTTTCCCACCACCTAGACAACAAAAGCCTCAAATTGGTAGCTACAATGAGAAAGAGTGACCAAAAAAACCCCTGTTGGCTTTCTATTTTTTTTTTTTAAATCACCTCCAGGTGATGGCAGAGATTAGCTGGTTAGTTTATTTCCCTTCGTTTCCCAGAGTTCAGACAGCCAGAATTTCTTGGATCACAAGCTTACACATACAAACACAAAAATCCAGCACAGAAGATCATTTTTAGAAAGAATTTCAGGGATTCTCCCCCTCCCCACAGGCTAGTATAAAAAAAACAGCTGATTTCTAAAGGAGATTAGATGGGGAGTAGACAGGGGCACTTTGTATTCCTATCCAGAGGATACGAATCCAAAGTGCAGCACCACAGATGCCATAGCAGTCCATTCCCACCCCTCAGAAATAGCCCAGTTCACCTCACCAGGCTCCAAGTGGCATGCTCGGCCATCCGTGCTTCCCCACCTCTCCCCACAGCCGGCCACTCCAGTGAGGAGGCAGGAAGATAAGTCCCAGAGCTGACTGCTCAGCTGTTGAGCAGTCAGCTGAGGGAAAAGGCGGGAAAGTGCCAGAGGGATTACTTCCATGATTGGTGTGATGACCATGCTGATGGCTGTGTGCGCTGTGAGGAGCCCATCGAGTGGACCGGGCTGGTTCTGGGGGGTGAGAACAGACCACCATGGCACCTATAGTGCTGCACTTCATATTCCTATCCCTTCAATATGAATACGAAGTGCCCATGTCTAATGGGCAGTAAACCTCTGTTGAAAAGGGCTCCAATTAGAAGCTTTCAGTGTTAGTGCTAATGGATTAAAAAAATCAAACCAAACCAAGGTCCAGCACAGAGGATCAGTTTTAAATGGTTTCTTTGACATCTTCCAAAGAATTTATAGAAAGATAGTTGATTTCCAAAGCAGATTAGGAATGGAGTAAAACGACACTGAAAAGGATTCAGGTCAGAAGCTTTTAGTGTTAAGGGTTAATCTAGTAAATATGTACACACAAACACCAAAGTCCAGCATAGAGAATAACTTTAATTTTTATCTGTTCTGGAAAAAGATGCTGATTTCTTAGAGAAGAAAAAAGATGACAATAGAAGGGAAGAGAGGAGAGGTTTTATGAATGAGTGTGAGCACTACAACTGGCCCTATGTGGGGAGAAAAAAATACTCTGTTTCAATCAGCCTTAACACCTACATGCTACTTAAGCAAAGCTAAGTAGAGCTGCACTGGACTAAATTGCCATAAGTAGATCTTGTTGTTGTTATTTAGTCATTAACTCTTGTCTGACTCTTCGTGACCCCATGGACCAGAGCACACCTCCTGTCTTCCACTGCCTCCCGAAGTTCGGTCAAATTCATGTTGGTGGCTTCAATGACACTGTTCACCCATCTCATCCTCTGTCATCCCCTTCTCCTCTTGCCTTCACACTTTCCCAACATCAGGATCTTTTCTAGGGAGTCTTCTCTTCTCATAAGATGGCCAAAGTATTGGAGCCTCAACTTCAGGATCTGTCCTTCTAGTGAGCACTTGGGGTTGATTTCCTTCAGAATGGATAGGTTTGATCTCCTTGCAATCCAGGAACTCTCAAGAGTCTCCTCCAGCACAACAATTCCAAAGCATCAATTCTTCGGCGGTCAGCCTTCTTTATGGTCCAGCTCTCACTTCCGTAAATCACTACTGGAAAAACCATAACTTTGACTATGCGGACCTTTGTCAGCAAGGTGATGTCTCTGCTTTTTAAGATGCTGTCTAAGTTTGTCATTGCTTTCCTCCCAAGAAGCAGGAGTCTTTTAATTTCGTGGCTGCTGTCCCCATCTGCAGTGATCATGGAGCCCAGGAAAATAAAATCTGTCACCCCCTCCATATCTTCCCCTTCTATTTGCCAGGAGGTGATGGGACTTTCTGGGTTGTCCAGGACATTAAGTAGAGCTACTATGGACTAATTTGCCATCTCTCTTATTTATTTTGGAAAAGGTCTCTGGGTTTGCTCTTTTATATCACGAAGGGTTTTCCCTGATGTAAATGTAAGCTTGAAGCCACCAACTTGGCTATAAGAACTTATCAATCTTTTAATCTGTGATGCCTTTATGGCTAATGGGACAGTGTTTTCCTGGCAACGTGTATCCTTAGGTTAGGTACTCCATTCCCACCAGGAAAAAAAGTGTAGGCTTGATGTCTTCAGATAAGGGTGGACGTATCACTGCTTAATTTAGTCCACCCCAGTGTCAGACGCTAGAACTCTCAGACCTAAGTCCTCTGGGAAGCTGACCAGTGACCACAAAGGTTGGCTATACCACCTACATACAAAAGTTATCTCGGCACTATGCAAAGGAAAACTAGCAGGCGCCAGTGCTCGAGTACATGGCTACAGCTAGAAGCCACCACTTCAACTCCCTCAGAATGCTTCTGGGACCCTGGCATTCCATTCCATTGGAGCTATACTATATTGGTGCCCCATAAACATTGTTGGGGAAATGACCACCACCCGTGCCAGTAGCTGTGCTTGTTGGCTGAGCCACTTCTGCTTCACCTGCTTCTGTCAAGAGAAGGGAAGAGAAACACATGCCTGCTAAACATGTCCTTACCTGTAGTCGTTAGGTCTGGCAAATAACTGATAAAGAATTGGAAAAGTCATTTTTTTTCTAATTACGTTTGGACATACTTCTGCCCCCTTAGTTTCCGTTCATCATCTCTAATAGAAGTTATTGGGAATTGTTATAAATATTCCATGGTGCTTCCCCTCCACCCACTCTTGACAAGACATCCATCCCAGTTGCCCCGGAAAAATATGCTGGGCTGTGTGATGCATTACCTGTTTTTGTCTATATTAGTGACTCTCACGTAATGATCAGATGAATTTTGCAAGGTTTCATTCATATACATCCATACTTCTTCTTCTGGTTTTGGATATGCTTCATATGTTACTATTAAATCTAGGTTTTCTCCATCGTTGACATACAGAGTTGTGTTAGTTGAAGATGACAAACTGACATATCCTTCACCTGGTGGTTGTAATACGGACAGAACAAAAAAGAAAAAAGAAAGAAGCATTTTCTGAAATCTTTCTGATGCCTAAAGCAAGTACAATTAAATGCAAGGTCAATGGAATAAGGAAACTATAGAGACAAAGCACGTTATAAATTGAAACCTGTAGACAAGTAAGCCTTATCAGCTACAGGAACAACTGAGTGCCAATGACATTTGACTGAATATGGTGAGCAGTAACTCTTTATGTTTCATGAAGGGCTCCTGCCTTTTTGTGCAATTTCTAGGACAAGGTGAGATCTAGCCAGTGATTTCTGCATACATGAAATCATCAGGACCTGTGGCCGGATTTGCTTCTATGCTCATTTTATTTGACTTATATCCAACTTTTTTGAAGCTGGATATAAAATAGCCATATAAATGCCACAAAGTTCAACATAAAATAATAAACTATCTAATAATAAAAACCCATATTACAATAATGTCAGAAAGCCAGCAGTAAAATAAGCCATACCCAACTCTTGACATTGAAATTGCCTAAATCCACAGCTGGAATCCTACTGGTGTTTGCATAAGGTTTATGCAACTTGCCCCAGCTAATTGTTCACATGTTCTCAGAGCACATGCTTGAGGCCCGGGGAACTCCTTTATTCAACTTTGTTCAACTAAGATAAGCAGAGCCATTATCAGCTTTGTTGGATCCTGCTATTTAATAGACATGCAAAACAATCAGGCCTAGTCAGTCTCCCTAAGGATAGTATCCCATATTCTATTCCATAAATAGAATGGAGGCCACTAATTTAAAAGGTCTTGTTTAGTCTTCAAAGGCTGTAGTACAAGTACAGGAATCCCAGAGACTAAATTAAATCCAGCAGGGGATTAGTATGGCAGAAGATCCTGATTCAAGCATCTTGGGGTGCCCCTGGATGAGAATTTGTCTTGCAGTTTGGTCCAATCTGGGGAAGGGCTGGGTAGTTCCTTTTCCCAGCAGTCACATGATGATGATGGCCATCACAAACCACCTCATCCCTGATCCATGCCTACCTGTACCTTTTTTTGGGGTCCATCAGGGACTACTGGGTTTATTTTGGTGTGAATTGGACTGCTCTATTTTTGGTTCAGCTCTAGCATGTGTGATCACTGGCATCAAAACCAAGTGGGTGGCTTAAGCTGCCACTCTGCATAACCTGCTTCATGATCTTGGGAAATTGGAAGCTTTCTCCCTCTACAGCATGGGGTGGGGGAGAGAGAGGAAGCAAAGTCGTTGTTTTAAAAGCCCTTTTAGACCACACTGACTTGTTATGCCACTTAAATTTTTTGTTTAAATTGAAAACTTCCTCCTGCTCCCCCACAGAGGAGGAGACAGGAGGGGACAAGAAGGATGGTCAAATAATCAAATAAATAATAATAATAAAAAATAATAATGGTCATTTTTGGTTATTATTTTCTGTCTTTTTCTTTGCCTTTAAAGGGAGAAGGAGCCAAATATAATCACTTGCAGTGTGGTGCATTTTCCTGCCCCAAAACTAGCCCATCCTTGCACATGGATGTCAGAAGAGTCCCAAATGATACACCACAACCGAAAGTGACCCTGTTTAGCACAGCGTAGGTTGATCTAGACCAGGATAATTTGGCTGTCCAGTCACACCCCTGATCTCAGGCAATCAAATCCAAACAACCAGCTAAATAAACCATTTATGCACCAGTGTAATGCGCAAGCATTATATTTTTGGGCCTATGTTGGTAGATTTTAAAGCTGATAATGAATTTACTTATGGAATAAGCAAATAATGAAGAAATGTTGCAGTGTAAAAGCTACGATGCGTGTATTTCCTTTGTGAAATTATATGATCTAAGAAGCAGAGGAAGCTGGGGGAAGGGGGAAGGTGGAGGTGGGAAAAACCTTTTTGCCAATTATGGATAAAGACATGTTCAGAATGCTGCCGCTAATTACAGCACATGAATATGTTCCTAATCAGTTTAGCACTTATGGTAATTTTAATATTTAAAAAGGACTACGAGTCACAGGAATCCAGCACTCAGGGGTGGCTTTTCAGGAAAGCATGTTAATAAACAGCACAATGTAAGCACCTCTGATAGCTCTTGATGGAACTAATCTAGAGTGTGTGAGAGAGACAATGGATCAAGCTTTTAAGTGAGCCCTGGAAATCAAAGCTTTCATCCGAAAATGTGCTCTTTGGGCACAATCCAACATACCTTAGGGAGTAGGTTCTCCCATATGTTCCTCCCCTCCCCATTACCAGATGAGGCTTTATCTCATGTGCTTTCTATTCAGAAAGTGGGAACATATTAAAGCACAGAGAAGGGTCTTCCTGGTTGCAGAGACAATATTCCCAGGAAAGCCCTTCCAGGGAGGTCCCCCAGCTCCTTAGGTTGTATACTATGGCTCCTTTCTTATCCTTGATGGCTTTCCAGGCTTACAGGGCAATCTTATGCTTGTCTACTCAGAAATAGGTTCCATTGATTTAGTCCTTGCTGTGATCCTGTGGTGACATGGCTGTGCTGGAATCATACAACTTAATGGGTAGGGCCAACCGCATGGGGCTTTCCCATGAACAAGAATGCCCAGCATGCAGGACTTGATTCTATTGGAAGCCATGTGCATATAAACAGCATCTCAAAATGGGGACATGACTAGTATAGTATTGTGCTGCGCTTGCACTGATAGTAATGTCTTTACTACTTCTGTTACCAGTAGCAGTAGAAGCAATGATGATGATAATGGTATCACTTCATCTTCACATTTTTAGGACTTAACTCCTAATTTTTAAGTTTGATCCTCCATGCACAGCAATGCTCAGAAGAAGCATTATGTAACTACCACCACCACAAACAACAACAACAACAACAACAACAACAACAACAATAATAATGATAATAATACATCCTTCTTATATGTTAGTGGTTGTAGCTCTTGATATTTGGGCTGGTAAAGTTCTTTTTTAAAAAAGAGATATTCCGTCCAGTTGGCTTTGCAATTTATTTTTTATTAAGTTGGCTCTGGATTTTTATCATCTTGGCTTCACTGCAGTGTTTTGTTTTTGTTTATCCTTCTATATTTGTAATTGTACAGTGTCCAAAAACTTATTTGATCAGTGTCTTACAAATGAAAATAAGCAAACAGAAAACACGTAGCTAGCAACTCAAGGGTTAATTCTTCAATGCAGGATCTTGTTTTCACATATCAGTGTTTCTGTGTTGTAAAACTGCTTTGTTTGTAATCATAACATTAAATATAAGCTGTATGTATTTCTAGTGATCATCGCATCTCCTTGTGGGGTAGGGGAGTGGGATGTGACAACTAAGCACACATATCTACTAATCGCTCTCCCTATGGCACAAAAATCTTATATGTTTGCAGTATTACTATTTACCTAGTACTTTCAAGGTTATAGTGACATTGGATGTTCCAAAAGGGTTGCTTCCTTGGCACGTGTAAGCTCCAGAATCATTAACTCCCACTGAACGGATGCTCAACGTTAATTTTTGTTCATATCCATAATCACCCACATTCTTGCTTCTGCGTGTAAGATTCTGCCGGTGAGAAGGGGGAAAAATTAACATCTAAGATACAGTGTACACAGCATCTTTCCTAGATAAATTAAAAATAGATGTAATTATAACTCCAGCATATTAATATTCATAACTTAAAACCAGAATAATAAGCCATCGTGACAAACCTGTCACTGGAACCTCTCCATACAAAACAACGACATTCTCAAAGGTCTCTTTGGAAGAGAAAAAAAAATGTCCTTCCTAGGCTGTACTCAGCCCCCCCCCTTTCCCCCTTACTTCCTTTCTTCCAACCCACTCCCACATTCTTGGTATTCTGCCTCCTTTCCTAGTAACAGCTACATAGGAGATTTGTCCTTATTAAGGTGTGTGCAGTCTTAGAGCAGCCTCACTGCTCGTTCCAGTATTGCCTCTGCAGCATGGACAGTAGTTGTCCTTTTGCTCTGTCCCCTCAGCATACTGCAAGACCTAGATTATACTGGAGGGATGCCGATGGGGCCCCTCTTCCTTCCACACTTAAGGGCAGCTTGGAGGTTGTACGGTAGGTTGCATTGCACACACAGCTATGTCCTCCTACACCTTCCTGCTCTCCCCTGCCCTCTCTCAGCATCTGCTGCTGGTGACTGTGACCTCAATCTTAATGAAAGTGGCAACCCTGGTTTTACTGGTCGTGCTCATAAAAACTCAGAGAACGAGAGAGAGAGAGTGCAGTAGTTCTTCCATCACTGAAGTAATAGTCTTTGTTCGTGTCTGAAGCACTGCCATGCAATTAATAAATATGCCAGTTTATTCGTATATAGGCTTTCACGGCCGGGATCTAATGGTTGTTGTGGGTTGTTCGGGCTCTTTGGGCGTGTTCTGAAGGTTGTTCTTCCTAACGTTTCACCAGTCTCTGTGACTGGCATCTTCAGAGGACAGCACTCCCAGCTCTCAAAAATACAGCATGCAAAAGGTCAACAAACTCTACCCAGCCACAAGGACCGGGGATCACTACACACAAAAGACCAGCTAATGACACCCATCAATCACAGTGACAGATAATCTCTGCTCCTTATCACAACAATACACCCACAAGACACGCTAATCGCCCATCTCCAGAAAAGGACAAAAGCCTATCTCACATCCATAAATACTCCACTCCCAAGCATATTACACCAGAGCACAGAGTGCTGTCCTCTGAAGATGCCGGCCACAGAGACTGGCGAAACGTTAGGAAGGACAACCTTCAGAACATGGCCAAAGAGCCTGAAAAACCCACAACAACCAAATAGACCAGTTTATTTTCATCCTGTGATAGGCAACATGAAGAGCATCTGGGCTAGCTAACATCAAATATTTCATAATATATGTTGAGGGGCATAGAGTATACATAGAATACGGGTGTGAAGTTGCCTGTTCTTCTCTGCTCTCACAAGGGCTTGTGTTCGTTTGAAAACCCTATTTTTCTAGGTTCACTTTGGTTCTGCCAGTTCATCCCACAAACTGGACTGATAACATACTGTATGAAGTGCCAACAGGAGGTAGCATTGAAGGGATTTCAATCTCGTGCTCACAAGAATCCCTATCAAGAAAACACATAGCAATCATAACAATTGTGAACGGCTCCATCATATTTCAATCTACTGGCCCCTTGTTGACCTTAACTGTGGTTTAAATTATGCCTCCTAAAAACATCAAGTAGAGTGAAGGAGGAATTACTATTCCAGGAAAGCAGGGCTGTGGAGAGGGATCACCTATTGCTGGGGCTAGATCCTGAGTTCTACAATTTGGAGAAGTTCCTTTCGGGATCGCAGTCTCCAGAATCCTCCAGGCAGCACAGCCATCCACTGACCCTCCTGGCTAGAGAGGTTCTGGATTGCCACCTCTTAACACTGCTCTAAAGAAAAAGGGAATTGCCCTGTGCACCCAAATATTTTTCAGTGGGGTTTTTATTCATACTCATGGGGAAAAGTAGACTACACAAACAAAAAGAAACGAAGAAGGGAAGAAATATGAGCAGAAGAAGCCCATGAGTGAAAACCAGTTTTTGACAAAAAATATTAACTGATCTTGGAGCCGTCCCCAAAGTCCCATCTGTAGATCTCATCCGGTATTTGACTGCATGCTACTGAGGCTTTGCTTCACCCTTGGAGTGGGTGAGTTGCGATTTGCCACAGATAAAGCATTTAGGAGAGCAAAGGTCTGCCAGCACCAGTGGATTAATGGAAAACTACATGAAGGACCTGAGGGCCAGATTATCCAGGACTCATTTTCCCAAAGCTGTGTGCTATTTTATCTAGCACCACAATCTGGCCACACAAGTCCTTCTGCCATCTGCCCAGGAGCTGCTGATTATATATTCCGATCGCCATCATTAATAATTGTCTATTAGCAGCCAAGCATAATTGTACTGAGCAAGGTTAGGAGCACTTTTCTCAGGAGTTTTTGCATATATGCTTAAATTACAGTGATAGGCCACAGGCAATCTGCAAATATTTAAATGATAAGCAATTTAGAGTCAGCTCAACAATCATCCCAGTGGAGCAGCTAAAACTAAAACATTCCAACAGCCCCGTACAATCTAAAGAGTCCCTTTGTAAAGTCAGTCGATCCCTACTTTCCCATTAGGCTCTATATTAAAATAGGAATTTGTTTCCTGGACAATTTTCATAACTTATAAATGAAACCTGTGCTGCTGGGAAGCTGTCCTCTCCCTCCCAGCTGATTTCTCTAACTTGCCTGCTGGTTGTTTCTATCTGACTTTTGAGTCTTCTCAGATATCCGATAGCCTTTAATTTGACTATATGCTAAGTGCTACTACTTGGCTTCTGCTGTCTCCTCTCTTCTCCTTTCCACCTAAGTTTACTTGCTGTTCTACCTGGCATCTGTTTACCCACCACTCTGTTTACTGATGCCTTTGTATTCAAGGAAATTAGCTGTCTCTAACTCTGGTTATTCTGGCTGTGTATTCAGGAAATTAGTTACCTCTGTATTGATTAACTAGTGCAAAGGTAGTAGAGTACAATAATAAAGGGGACGCGAAAAAGGGAAAAAGAACTCCCACTGAACAGGTGCCTCACGGCAGGCTGTTCTGTATTCATCCGGATCCCACCCTGAAAACCACACTCGAGTGTCCCGTCTTTTCCTTTCTCCTTGCTGGTTGAGGAGAAAGATCCCTGCCCTGAGGCTTCATCTGCAAGACCCCTACTTCCTCTCATCTTGCAGATCCCGACACCTTTGTAAAGTCAGTGGAACCCTACTTTCCCATTAGGCTGAATATTAAAATAGGAATTTGTTTCCTGGACAATTTTCATAACTTATAAATGAAACCTGTGCTGCTGGGAAGCTGTCCTCTCCCTCCCAGCTGATTTCTCTAACATGCCTGCTGGTTGTTTCTATCTGACTTTTGAGTCTTCTCAGATATCCGATAGCCTTTAATTTGACTATATGCTAAGTGCTACTACTTGGCTTCTGCTGTCTCCTCTCTTCTCCTTTCCACCTAAGTTTACTTGCTGTTCTACCTGGCAATGCAACTGTAAATGCTCCAGTTTATAGTGCTAGTCATGGTGGTCATACAAGAGAGTTTTGGACACTGGGAGGACTCTTTAGCTAATATTGGGAGGATCGTGAATGCTGGGCATTGTACTGTGAGACATTATTAAATTCACTGCTTTCCTCCCAAGAAGCAGGAGTCTTCTAATTTTGTGGCTGCTGTCACCATCTGCAGTGATCATGGAGCCCAAGAAAGTAAAACCTGTCACTGCCTCCCTATCTTCCCCTTCTGTTTGCCAGGAGGTCATGGGACCAGTGGCCATGATCTTAGGTTTTTTGATGTTGAGCTTCAGACCATTTTTGCACTCTCCTCTTTCACCCTCATTACAAGGTTCTTTAATTCTTCCTCACTTTCTGCCATCAGAGTGGTATCCTCTGCATATCTGAGGTTGTTGATATTTCTTCAATCTTAATTCTGGCTTGAAATTCCTCCAGTCCGGCCTTTCACATGATGTATTCTGCATCTAAGTTAAATAAGCCGGGGGACAATATACAGCCTTGTCATACTCCTTTCCCAGTTTTCAACCAATAAGTTGTTCCATATCCAGTTCTAACTGTCGCTTCCTGTCCCACGTATAGATTTCTCAGGAGATAAGGTGGTCAGGCACTCCCATTTCTTTAAGGACTTGCCATAATTTGCTGTGGTCCAAACAGTCAAAGGCTTTTGCATAGTCAAGGAAGCAGAAGTAGATCTTTTTCTGGAACTCTCTGGCTTTCTCCATAATCCAGTGCATATTAGCAATTTGGTCCCTAGTTCCTCTGCCCCTTCGAAATCCAGCTTGTACTTCTGGGAGTTCTCGGTCCACATACTGCTGAATCCTACCTTGGAGTCCCCTATGTTTCCATACGGATGGGGCTCTGAAGTTGCATTTCTGAAACTGTCTCTTTGATAACTCTTTCTGCACTGTTGCAGCCCCACTGACTCACTGGTTGCTAGCTGACTGTTAAATTTATGAACTCTAGAATGCAGTGCTGCTCGGACAGCACAGTGGTATAGGTATCTGGCTGTAGAGCTAAAGGTTGGGAGTTCAATTCCTCACTGTGCCTCCTTGACGGGCTGTTCTTGAGGATCCATAGGATCTTCCAGCTCTGTGGTTATTAAACCATTTTACTTAAAAAATGGGTGGTAGTAGTTTTTAAAAAGCTCAATGGTTTCTGAGCCTATCTGCAAGCTTTTTCTTTACATATCTCATGTTCCTAATAACTGCATTCAGAGCAATGGCATGGCCTGAGCCCCTTCTATCAGTTTCTCATTAGTTCTACTTTTTTATTCTTCCCAGTGTTGAAGGAACATACTAAAAACTCCTGGAATTTGTACTTCAAAGCCAAAGAACGACAACCCTGGATGACATCAAGATTTGGTTGTTGGGGCTACTGAGTAAGGAAAAACTAGCTAATTAGAGCTCTAAAGTTTTTAGATAGAAAACCTCCTCCTTTCGAGCTTTTGTTTTTCTTCTCCCACAGCCTGAAGAAGGTGATTTTTGGACTTAAGTTCCCAGAATCCTTTAGCATGCAAAAACTTGTGATAAATAGGAAGTACACATGTATACATGATTTTAAAAAATATAAAATTACACTGGTGCGCAGAAAGTGGGCTGGGGCTTGTTTCTCTCTTTTTCTCATAATACAAATTCTTTCCACCTCCCTTCCCTTATAATTAATGTTAGAACTGTAGTATGACTAATGTCAGAATTCTGTCCTTCAATCAACATTAGAACTGTTGAATCCACTCCAGCAAGATTCAGTGGTATCATCCAGCAATCTGAATAGCTTTTAACGGGGGTTAAGCAAATTCATTGGAAATGAAGCTAACAAATACTAGTAATCATGATGGCTACATATCATCTCCAGTATGCCTCAGTTGTTGGGGAACTTCACATGCTTGTGGGCTTCCCATGGACATCTTGTCTCTTTAGGAACAGAATGATGGACTAGACAGACCTCTTGTTTGATCCACTGTGACTCCTCCTATGACTCAGATTCTTATGACTTTAGATTCCTTTTGCCACATAGCCTCTGAGGAGCTTACCCTCTACAGAGAAGTGCAAGAGTACCCTATTGTCCCCTGGCTCAAACCACAATCATTGCGCAAGTACCTCCTGCAGTGCTGGCTCCATGTGAAATGCTGATATATTTAAGAAATCCTCTTGTAGGCGATTACTCACGAATTAGCTTCTAGGGGGACACATTTTATGCAGAGGAGCAGAGTGAACATAATCTCTACTCTACTGACCATTGTCCTGCTTTGAATTGTCCCAGTTATTTTTGCTGCTAAAGGTCAATGTGCATTATGACCCGTCCAAACCCGTGTTTGGACTTTGCCTTGTGTAGTCAAATACCAGGAGACAAATGCCGAGGAAAGGGAGGGATATCAAGGTGATGAAAGGCTTATGCAGCTCCTCCTCCCTCCTCTAAATGACGCATTCATCCATATCTGTTTTGCCCTTAAAGTATGTTTTAAAGGGGCCCAATCCCACTCTAGATGTTTGAGATTACAATTCCCAACAGCCTAGCATGGCAAATATTCGGTGATAATGGTAGCTGAAGTCTAAGTCATTTGGAGAACGTCAGGTCTGGGACAATAAGGTAGGAAAGTTCTTTAGCAGTTCTTATTCAAGATTCCACATGCAGTTAGAGACATGGGCTTCTGTGTAAATAAAGCATCTTTGTCAAAACACAAAACAAAGAGTGAAGCACAGCAGGGATATAAACAAGGACAAACATGGTTAGAAGCATCTAGATGAAACAAAGAATCAAAGCATTGATGAACAAAGAGAGGTCTGGGAAAACATGGCATCTAAAGCTGCAAGATAACAAGGATCTGCTTAGTTCAAATGTTCCCACACATTCAAATATTCTTGATTGCAACTTCCAGAAGCCCTGACTACTGGTTGTGCTAGCTAGCACTTTTGAGAGTCCAAGTCAGAGAACATCTGGGCCCTGAAATTTGGGAACCAGTGGATTAATTGCTCTGTACCAGGATGTTGACTTCTAGACTGCTCGACATGAACCAGAGGAAGTAGACAGGAAAGGGGGAGAAGAATCCTATAACTGCTGTCAGTCAGAGGGGATGATGTATGCTGCTGCCAAGCAGGGCTGGCAGAAGACATTTTGTGACCTGGGCTGAAGAAAAAGAAGTATCTCTCCACTTGTAACTATATAAGCAGCTGAATCTTTCTTCAGCACTGGCAGTGGGGTTATGCCATATTTGAAGGACCCAAACTGGCTTAAAGGCCATCTGGCACACAAATATTCCTACTCCTGCCTCCCAGCATCTACCACATGATGCATCTGTCTCACTTTGTCTAATAGTAGGGTTGGCCCTGTTGTCAAGGTGTGAATGGTAGAAAGGCTATGTATTCGCCAAAAGACTTGACATTCATTCAAGATTTGTCAAGGTTACTCTTCTGGGTAGCATCACTTCATGGGAACAGTGTTTTGTCACAACTAATGACATATCTATGTTTCATTCAGCATATCATTCTCTGGCTTTTAAAAAAGATTCTTCTTTCAAGTACATTAGTTAAAGCTGATGGGGTATAATGAACTTACCGCACTGCCCTGAAAAATCCATTTAGCTTGTAGAGTGCTGTCTACATCCCTGATTGTGCACATAACTTCAAATTCTTCACCCTCTTTGAGAAGCTGGTCCGTTTTGGATAAGGTGATGTCTGGAAGGGATTTGTGAACTGGAAAACAATTTAGCTGTGTGTTACTTTTCATTTTATGCAGAGCCTCCAAGAAATAGGTGGGAAGAAAATGAAATCAAAAGTTATTAACCTCCCAATAAAATATCAGACCTCCCGGAGGCATCTTAAAATGCTATAACATCATGTACGTCTCCTGGTTAAAATACGAAAAAGTCTACTACCCAACATGCACAAACAAGCACACACACTATTTAATCTGCAAAAATTGAAGCCCAATCAGGAAACTAATTCCATAACAGTCTTTATAAGGTTGTGACTCACACCTCTGGCACCCACTGATGGAAACACATGCATCAATAGTATGAAATATTAATCTAATTCAAGGGCAGCCAACCTTTTCTCTGTAAAGGACCATGTCCTCTTGGGGATAACCGTCCATAGTGACAGTTTAGTGGTGAGTGGGACTTAAAGTAACTGTGGACAGAGCCAGAGACAAAACTGAGTTTACTTCTTTGTCTTCTCTATTCCTGCCACTGCTTTATCTCCCTTTTTCCTCCTCTGTACTTAGCAAGATATACGGGAATGGACACAACACTCTTCCAGAAGCCTGAACTGACCATTTGCAGAGGGCTTTTGAAATGAGGTTGAGGGCCTGACTGCCTTTAATACCACCCTTGTTCAGACACATTGGCTCAATCTTGTTGGCATAACCATGCTTGCGGAAGGTTGATTATGTCATCAGTAGAGGGCGATTGTACTTTATTGCTTACTGTTTTTCAGAGTGATATGTGTTTGATCCTTTCAGTATTGTATATTCACTGTTTTTAGTTTTGTAAATATCGATTTTTAACGATGTAAGGCAACTTGGGTCCTTTTAAAAGGAGAAAGGTGGTAAAAATGTTTTAAATAAAAACCTAAAATAAATAATTTTTGTTAAACTTCCTCCTTCCACCCCACTGCTCTCATACTTCTACACAGTGAAAAGGAGTACATGGGAACTGCAGGGCAAAAGCATTTAATCTCAAAAATCACTCCCCACTGATCACATCATTAGGCCTCTCTAGGAATAGTTATACCAACAGGATTTCTGCCAATCTTATATAAAACAGCTTTAGTGGCTGCCTAAATTCCAGGAAGCAGCTAGTATACAACAGATGATTAAAATGAGTTTACTAATTGTTTCAGTCTGGATAAAGGTATATTTTACCTGGCCGCACAATAAGATTGATAATTTCCGACTCTTTCTCCACTCCATTCTGCTGTGCTGCACACCGGTAACACCCTAGAAATGATCTCTGCACATTTTTGATGGTAATTCCTTTCTGAGGATTGGGAATTAACATTATATTCTCAGGTAGAGATTTAGAACTTTTACATCTTTTCAATGTGAAATTTGAAATGTCTGGATCTGTTACCGGGCACTGAATGAGGGCATCGTGGTCTTCAGTTGCAAATATCATTGGCTCATGAAAGAACAGAACCTTTGGATCTGAAATGAAAAAGAAAATTCTTAAAGATTATATATTTAATCACAATTCTTTAGATAAGAATGTAATAAAACACGTATCTTTGTCTTGCTCGGTACTCTTCCCTACAATATCAACATGCCTCCATATTAAGCAATTCATATTTAATTGCGTATATATTCCATTTTACTATCATATGGAAATTCAGAGAAACTATAAAAGATGCCCCAGCACTCTCAGCTAGGTTTTATTCTAATTTCCTGATACCCTTTATTGACACTGAATGACAGTTAACTAGAAAATGTTACTATATTGAGTTAGTTCCAAGGAAGACATCAGTAAACTCCTCTTCAGTGTACAAATCGTAGAATCAGAGAAAAGTGAAGTTGGAAGGGGCCTACAAGGCCATCAAGTCCAACCCCCCCTGCTCAATGCAGGAATGCAATCAAAGAATATCTGCCAGGTGATTATCTAAGTTTTTCTCGAATGCCTCCAGTGTTGGAGCATTCACCAACTCCTGAAGTAATTGGTTCCACTGTCATATTGCTCTAACAGAACGTTTTTCCTGATATTCAGCTGAAATCTGGCTTCCTTTAACTTGAACCCATTGTTGTGTATCCTGCACTCTGGGATGACTGAGAACAGATCTTGCCCCTCCTCGGTGTCTTCTTTTCTCAAGGCTAAATATGCCCAGTTCTTTCAGCCTTTCCTCATAAGGCTTGGTTTTCAGCCCCCTGATCATGCTTGTCACCCTCCTCTGAACTTGTTCCAATTTGCTAGCATCCTTCTTGAAGTGTGATGTCCAGAACTGGACACAATACTCAAGGTGAGGCCTAACCAGTGCTGAATAGAGGGGGACTAGCACCTTGCAGGATTTGGAAACTATATAGTACTTCTATTAATGCAGCCTAAAATAGCATTTGCCTTTTTTGTAGCCACATCACACTGTTAGCTCATATTTAGCTTGTGATCTAGGACAATTTCAAGATCCTTCTTGCTCATAGTTTTGCTGAGCCAGGTATCTCCCATATTGGAACTGTGCAATTGGTTTCTTTTTCCGAGGTGCAGTACTTTGCACTTATCCCTGTTGGATTTCATTCTGTTGCTTTCAGCCCAGTGCTCCAGCCTATCAAGATCATTTTGAATTTTTTTTCTTCTAGGGTATTAACTATTCTGCCCAATTTTGTATCATCTGCAAATCTGACAAGCATTCCCTTCACTCCCTCATCGAAGTCATTAATAAAAATATTGAAGAGCACTGGGCCCAGGACTGACCCTTGGGGTACCCCACTTGTTACCTCCTCCCAGTTACAAAAAGACCAATTAATCATCACCCTGAGTATGATTCTGCAGCCACCTGACACTTGATCTATCCAGCCCATTCCTAGTTAGCTTGCTAATCAAGATATCATGGGGTACTTTGTCAAAAGCTTTGCTGAAGTCAAGATATACTATGTCTACAGCATTCCCTCTGTCTATTAGGGAGGTGACCTGATCAATAAATGAGATCACATTAGTTTGCCAGGATTTGTTCTTGACAAATCCGTGTTGGCTTCTAGATATTACTGCATTGTTTTCTAGGTGCTTGCACAATGACCGCTTTACAATTTGTTCCAGAATTTTGCCTGGGATTGATATCAGGCTGACTGGCCTATAGTTCCCAGGTTCCTCTCTCTTTTTGCCCTTTTTGAAGATAGGGAGAACATTAGCCCTCGTCCAATCCTCTGGCACCTCCCTGGTTCCCCATGATTTCAAGAAAATAATGGATAGCAGTTCTTAGAGTTCTTCAGCCAGTTCCTTCAGTACTCCTGGATGCAGTTCATCCGGCCCTAGAGATTTGAACTTGTTCAAGGTGGTAAGGTACTCCTTGACTATTTGTTTATCTATCTCCAGCTGCAATCCTGTCTCTCCCCCCCCCCTTGCACTTCCAATTTGTTTGGAAGTTCATAGTCTGTCTTATGGGAAAAGACTGAACTAAAATAAGAATTGAGCACCTCTGCCTTTTATTTGTCTACTAAAGTAGGAATTTGGCAAATATGGTTATTACCAACAGAATAGTTTCTTATGGATTAATAGCTCAGGAAGAAGAAAATGCTACTGAGGAACTCTGCCCATTTACAATTGGTGAGGAGAAGGGCACAGAAGAAATGCCTGGATCCATCAATCAGCATTTTAAATAACTCCTTTTAAAAACTATGGTTTCCAGAATTCCACAGCCAGCATGGACACTCTCACAAATGAGTCCTGGTGCAATCCTATTAGATACAAATGGTTGTGTTTATTCGGATGTTCCCAAAGAGTTCTGAACTCTAGGAGGTGGTCGCTGGTTGCTTTGGGGAAGTTGCTGAATCCTCACAATCATGTTTCTATGGATGATAAATCAGGAGTCTTAATATGGGCTTTTGAATGTTAGTAATGATAGATGGAGTCTTCCGTTAGATATAGAACAGTAGTTATTATTCACAGTAACCAAAGCCAAGAACCCTTATCTTTTCTATCCTGTAACTAGTATGGTATTTTTAGGTCACCAGGAGAATGTAGCAGATTGAAGGAAATTGACTAATGAGTTTGCTTACCCTTTCCAGATCATCCTACTGTTTGCTAACAAACTGTGTGGGAGGGAGGAATAATATCACATAATGTCAGAATTCCTACCATAGTTCCATTTCCTTTTGTTTGCTCAGATCTTAGCATGAAATATAGCCTGCCCAGTAAAATTCACACTTTAGTTCATTACCATGAATTGCTTTTTCCACCTCATTCACAAAGGGGGATTCCTTTGAAAACTGTTATGAGATGAATTGTTTAACAGAAAAGAGCCTTAACAGAAATTCTTAACTTGTAGGAAAGTTGTATACGATCTTCTGCAATCTTTAAAACACCCACATACAAAATCCACAGTCAGCTGTGAATTAATGTATTTTTTAAAAAAGTCCTTTGCCAAAAGCCTTCCAACATATCCACTTCCAAGCACTGGACTGTCTTCTCTGTACATTGGGAAATCATCTCATACAGAGTTTTTGTGCACCTCCCCAAACCCCAAGGAATCCATGGGCCAGGAGATACCTGTAGAATATTCTTCCTGGGGTGAAATAGACTGAGAAAAGCCAGTTGTAACATATACTACAAATTCAATATGGCTACCATTTTCTTTCACAGGGATGGTTTGTGCACTGCCCTGATCGAGCCTGGATAACAGAATCACATGGGACCGGAACATCATTTGAGATATCTTCACAGGAATGTCCTGTATGATATATCCTAGGGAATATGAAACCATCCTGCAGTAGGAACAGATGAAGAAGTCTTCAGTGGTCCACTTGATTTTACTGAGTCTGTTCTAGACAACTCATCTATATATCTCAGGTTCATCAGATGGAATAACAAGCCCACTTCACCCTGTAGGGCTCCCCAAGTCAGACACTCCAAAAATATAAACCACTGCAGAAACGGCACATGAAACAATCCATTAAAGCATGAAACCCCAAGGGACAGATGGAGAGTGCTGCTAGGTTTCCTGTACAGGAGGCTTCATGGAGTAAGAGAAATCAGTCAATAAATAATGGATGGCAAATATGGGCAGTTTTAGGTGTCCCTGAACAGCAGTTCTCAACAGCCCTGCCACTACAGCCAAGGTTAAGGAATTACAGATGTTACAGTCCATTAATTAAATATGAAGAGCCACATATTCCCCACATCTGCAATAGATATGAGCATTGCAAAGGAAGAAATGCTTAGCTCCTTAAGGTTCAAATAAGTGCACACCACCAAGTACAGTGGTGCCTTGCTTGACAAGGATAATCCGTTCCAGCGAAATTGCTGTAGAGCGAAATCCTCGTCAAGCGAAATAAAAAAGCCCATTGAAATGCATTGAAAACCAGTTCAATGCGTTCCAATGGGCGAAATACCTCAGCATCCAGCGAAGATCCTCCATAGGGCGGCCATTTTCCAATGTCTGTGCAGCGAAAAATCCGTCCTGAACACAGCGGGGAGCCATTTTGAACAGCCGGCGGCCATTCTGAAAACCCGACAATCAGCTGTTTTGATTGTCGTAATGCGAAGAATCGGTTCCCCAAGCAGGGAACCGATCATCGCAAAGCAGATTTTGCCCATTAAAACATCGTTTTGCAATCACAAAAACATCGTCAAGCGGATTTGTCATCAAGCGGGGTAATCGTTAAGTGGGGCACCACCATATCATATAAAGGCATCTATGGGCAGGGGTAGAGGTAGAGAAGAGTCCAGTGCCCAGAAACCCTAGAGCCAAACCACAATCTCACCTTGTTCATGTTGCATGCTCATCAGTTGATAACTTAACATAGCTTGGAATGTTAGCTTTAAAATAATTTGTTTTGTTGTTAGTTAGCTCCAATTTTTTCCCATTATTTTTATGTTGGTAGTGAAAGATCTTTCATTAATTGTGTTAATTGTTACTTGGGGGAGGGAGGCCAAGCTATCTGCAAAGCGGAATTCCTTTTCAATGCAAAACCTTCTAGGACTTCCAACCAGAGTTCATTTAACTCCAAAATGTTTTTAGGATTTTAACTGGTCCTTATCTCCAAACTTTGATGATTGATCAGAAATAAGAGGAAGAGCATAACAAAACAACAAATCAAAATCATTATTCATTATATTCAAATATTAATATGCATTAGCCTCATTAAATAAAAGCAGAATATGGAAGGAACCATATTTTAAAAAACTACCAAAATTAACATAATATGCTATTTCCTAACTCTGTAATTTAAATCTGTGAATGAAGCATCAGAGGTCTAAAACCAGCAGAGGTTATCTCTTATAATATGACAAGCCAATTCACATATCTCACTGCCAATCACAATCTATTGAGGAATTATTGATAGACAATCTATATGTACTATATGTGCAAATCAGGTCTTAAGTGTTACCAGCAATAGATTATTGGATGTTCTGGCAAAGCATGCATTTTGCTTTTGGCACGGATTCCAAAAATCCCTTTAGTGTTATAAAGGCTCACAGAAGAACAGGCTTTGCTATCAGAAGACTCATTAGAAACCTTTACTGCATACTATCGGTTCACTTTATTTCCAGTCTCAAGAGGTTTGCACTTCACATCGGCATCTTTCCAGCGTATTCAGAAAGATAGCCAAAGGCTGAACAGCTCTAACAAGAACAATCTTGCCTCAAAGGGATATTTTGGGAGCCACATTGTCCAACAAATCCTACGGCATATATTTCCAGAGTTGTAAGAGCTCAAGTCTGACTGAAAGCTAAATTCTGCTTCCAGTTTCAAATGCACAGTGAAAGGCTGAGGCTACCTAGTGGGCGAGCAAGAGGAATCCATTCTACTCAGATTTACACCTGTCTGTTATTTCTTCATAGCCCAATCATTCAGTCCAACCATTTAAAACATGTTTCAAGGTTGATTTCTGGCTCGGATTAAATCGAATATGGATGTCAGAGACTTTGGATTATGCCTATTGATTCTTCATTTTTCAGACGAATCTCGATGCTTGTTCCTTCATTATTTCATCACTGTGACCCTGCTTGATTACTTACATGTGCTATCAGGCAACATGGTGCTAACTCTTTGGTACAAACTCAGTATCATTTAGTGTCAAAGACAATTATTTCCAGGGACCCAAATTCCCTGACATTTGGCTGACAGATAATTTAGTTCTTCAGTGTTTATTTCATGTTTGAGTATGCAACAGACAACTAGAGTGATCATGCACTCCAGTCATATCATTTTGAATTCATGCTGTACAAATCCAATAGAATTTTGGGCAATGTTTTATCGCATTCTTATATTTTATGGTTTAAGCTTTATTGTGGGACCCATCCATAAAGCTTCAGCTACTGGCTACCACAGAAATGTAATAAATAAACAAGGAAATGCATGTACAAAATCAGGAAATAAAGGAATATTTCCTTTGTTAATTAATCAAGGAGAGATTCCTAAAACGATTCATGATTTCTACAGTCCAAAGAGACTGCTTCAAGCCAAGGAAGCATATATTATTCTCCCGTTTTACATATATTTTTATTTAAAATGTATGTATCTATGCATTTTATATAGCTACTACATTTGCTTTATGGTAAGCAACATGGAGTGTAGGTGGTAACTGAAGTGGCATTCTGGCCTGACACATTGGCTTCTTATGATGTGCAAAAATCACATTACATAACATAAATACAGTGATGCCTCACTTAGTGAGGTTAATCTGTTCCGGATTAACCCTCGCTCAGCGAATCCATTGTTAATTGAAACAAAAAAGCCCATAGGAACGTATTAAAACTGATTTAATACGTTCCTATAGACTAAAACTCACTGTTCTGCAAGTTTTCTCCATTGCGGCGGCCATTTTGGATGCCTCGTTAGCGAGACAAAACAGCAGTCGCTATTTTGTTTTAGTGGCGGCCATTTTGGAACCGCTGATCAGCTGTTCGCTATGCTTTGATCGCGTCAGCGCGATCATCGCATAGCGAAAAAAGCCCATAGGGGCCATCGCTGAGCGAACGCTCCAGCGATGGCCCGGGACCCATCGTTGTGCGGTTTCATCGCATAGCGAAGCGTTCGCTATGCGAGGCACCACTGTATATAATATTTTATGAGTATGAACCAAGACTCCATTCTCAGCACATTTTGTGTTGTTTAAAATATGTAACTCTCCAGATGCTGGTGGCCTGCAACTCCTATTTGCTCTAGTCCACAGACTGAATGGTGAAGGATAACAATATCTGGAGCACCACAGCTCCAGTGTAAGAAAGGGACAGAAAATGATAGCAGTAGTTTACCTTTAACAAAAACGTAAGTGGAGATGTTCAAGCTTTCTCTGTTTTTGCATGTGTACGTTCCTGTGTCTCCAGGTTCTGCGCTGCTTATGTGAAACTCATTTTGTTTTAAATACTTTGGCTTTGCCGAAGGGTCCGCATTCTGGAAATGCCAAGTCACAGGGCCATTGTCACTGCAGAACAGCCTTAATTCTTGCCCGCTATTCACGACCAAAGAAGATCCTGCTGGAGTAATTGAAGGTCTTGCACCACCTACTAAAAAAAAAAAAAAACAACAAAATTTAGTAATTAGCATTTCGTTCATCTCCTTTCATTTATTATTTTAAAATCATCCTTCACTGGAAGTAAGTGGGCCATGTAAGTTTAATTTGTAAGTTTCTCTCTTTAAAATAGCGACTGACTTACCATAATGTTAGTAATTCAATGTGTATGTGGGATATTTAATTAACAACCACAGAGACCACAGTATGCAAATAAAGTGAAGAATTAAGATAGCTAGAGCAACTTTTATGAATTTGAAGAAAATGCTATGTAACAAACAGCTTGATATAATTTTGAGGCTGACAATGCTGTTGTTAATTGTTATGTGCCCATCAAGTCACCTCCATTAGCGACCCAATGAATGAATGACCTCCAAAATGTCCTGTCCTCAACAGCCCTGCTCAGCTCTTGTAATAACTGAGGATGTTCCGGTGTTACAAATCGTCAATCCTCTAAATGGATGTGAGGTTTTGGACTGTTAAGAAGGAGATCTTCAAGACTTTTGAAATGTGGATGTACATAAAAATCATTTGTTTCCCATAGGCTGATAGAATAAAGATTAAAGAGGTACTTCACTGGAGAGGAAAACAAAAATAGAGTTGATTATTAAGAAATGCAAATATGAAAACAGAATACCATATTCTCCATCAGATCATTATACTAGTAAGATTAGTACTGTATCTACACTAACAGATTATGGTTCTCTAGAGAGGTTTTTCTAACAGGAAATTTTTCTAATCCTATCTGGACATGTTGAAAATTGAATCTGTGGTCTTTTGCTCACACGACACACAGGCTGTCACTAACTTTCTGTCTTTCCTCATGGAATTCAGTGGAATCTAAATTAGGTCTGACTAACTTGTTAAATTGTAAATCCAGGTACCTTGAGCTGGTTGGCAGATTTTTGTTGTTACATGCCATCAGGTCACCTCCCACTTGCGACAATCTTATGAATGAACGATCTCCAAAATACCCTGTTCCCAATAGCCCTGCTCAGCTATTGCCTCTGTCTTCCTTTAGGGAGTCAAACCGTTTCATGTTTTGTCTTGCTCTTTTCTTGCTCCCTCCAACCTTTTCCTGCATCATTGTCTTTTGCAGAGTCCTGTCTTTTAATGATATGTCCAAAGAAGGACAGTCTCAGTTTCGACATTTTTGCCTGCAGAGATAATCCAAGCTTGATTTGCTCTAGTACCCACTTGCTTGACTTTCTGATAAACCAGGGCATCCACAAAGCTCTCCTCTAGCACCACATTTCAAACAAATCATTTCCCCCTGTCAGCTTTCTTTACTGCCCAGCTTTCACAGCTGCACATGGTGACTGGAATACAAGAGTGTGGAGGATCTTGGTTTTGGTCTCCGGTGACACATCCTTACACATGATTATCTTTTCTTGTTCTTTCGTTGCTGCACTTCCAAGTCTCAAATCTTCTGATTTCTTGGTTGCAGTCTCCATTTAGATAATGATTGAACCAAGGTGTACAAAAATCTGTAACAATTTCAATGTCATCATTGTCCACATTAAATTTGTGTAGTTCTTCTGTAGTCATGATTTTTGTATTCTTAATGTTCAACTGCAGTCCTGCTTTGGCACTTTCTTCTTTCACTTTCACTAAAACCCATTTCAAGTCACTGCTGCTTTCTCCCATTAAGATGGTGTCATCTGTATATCTTAAATTCTTGAAGTTTCAACCATCAATTTTCACTCCTCTATCTCAATCTGGTCTAGCCTTCTGTATATGTTCTGCATACAGAGTGAACAAGATAACAGGATAAAATGTACCCTTATCTGACACTTTTACTTATAGGAAACTATTACGTAGGTCTTTATATTCTGTCCTAACAGTAGTTTCAAGTTTTTGCTGACTGTATAGAGCTTCTCCATCTTTGGCTACAGATAATATAATCAATCTGATTTATATCTGGTGATGTCCACGTGTAGAGTTGCCCCTTGAGTTGTTGGAAAAGAGTGTTTGTGATGACCAGCTTGTTCTCTTGACAAAACTCTATCAGCCTTTGCCCCGCTTCGTTTTGAACTCCAAGGCCAAACTTACCTGTTGTTCCTTTGATCTCTTGACTCCCTACTTTAGTATTATAGTCCCCTATAATGAGAAGAACATCTTCCTTTGGTGTCAGTTCTAGAAGGTGTTGTAAATTTTCATAGAAGTGGTCAATTTCAGCTTCTTCAGCATCGGTGGTTGGAGCATAAACATAGATTACTGTGATGTTGAAAGGTCTGCCTTGGAGTCGTATTGAAATCATTCTATCATTTTTGAGATGGTATTCCAGTACAGCTTTTCCCACTCTTTTGTTGACTATGAGGGCTACTCCATTTCTTCTACAGGATTCTTGCCCATAATAGTACATATGATAATCGTCTGAATTGAATTCGCCCATTCCCATCTATTTTAGTTCACTGACGCCCAGGATGTCAATGTTTGTTCTTGCCATCTCCTGTTTGACTACATCCAGTTTACTAAGGTTCACAGATCTTACGTTCCAGGTTCCTATGCAGTATTTTTCTTTTCTACATTGGATTTCCTTTCACTTCCAGGCACATCCACAGCTGAGCGTCCTTTCGGCTTTGGCCCTACCACTTCATTAGCTCTGGAGCTACTTGTCCTTGTCCTCTGCTCTTCCTCAGTACCTTGTTGGACAACTTTCAACCTGAGGGGCTCATCTTCCAGCGTCATACGTATCTTTTGACCTTTTGTTTCTTCCCATGGAGTTTTCTTGGCAAAGATACTGGAGTGGCTTGCCAGTTCCTGCTTCAGGTGGATTGGGTTTAGTCAGAACTCTCCACTATGACCTGTCCATCTTGGGTGTCTGTGCATGGCATGGCCCATAGATTCTCTGAATTACTCAAGCCCCTCCGCCACGACAAGGCAGCAACCCATGAAGGGGCAATCCTTTATCATTTACAGCCTCAGTAATAGGAATCACGTTTAAGTTATTTGGTGCTCTCTTTGTTTTTATCAATTTCCTCTCTGACAAACACAGAGAAACCTAGTATATATATCCCTACTCATCTTACAAAGTGATGGCTTGATGCAGATGGGAAGAACACTTCAATTCATTTTTCAGAAGTTAATTTTTCCCCGCTATTAAAAAACAATGTCACCAAGCAAAGTCTACAAATGAAGATTGAATAGATTATCAGGAAATCCCAAACATATTTATCTTGCCACCTTATCAGATCTTCCAAAGTACAATGGATTAAGAGGATGTCAGGTAAACACTCCAGCTAGTGAGAAATACAAAGAAAGTGAAACACAATAAGACAAGGAGGCTAGATTATATTCTCCTGAGAATCTAATCAACCTAATCAAGAGAGCCTTTCAAATCAAGAAAGACAGAGCAGGATACTTTGGATAGTATGCTGATAGGACTGGGGTGGTTTGAGTTTAAATCCTATCTAAACCAAAATCATGAAACCAGATAATCCACAGGGAAGTGACTTCCACTCCACAGCTACTTGGGGAAAGAAAGTACCTGGATAATGCCAAACCACAGGGAAGGCCAGGTTTTGTAGCTTCTCCTTCCTATTCTGAGACACATCGAGCCTTTTCTGTACAGTGTTTCTTCACCTAACTTCAGTATCAGAGTCATTTTGCATGGACACATTTTGAACCGGTGAGCCAGTATTGGTTGACCTGGTTTCATTTCTCAATCCAGCTCTGCTGAATTGTATGCCTACCATTCATTCATTCATTTTATATCCCGCCTATCTAGTTGATTAAGATCACTCTAGGCGGCTAGAATTGTATGCCTACTTATATTCAACAGCAAGTGTGGTGTAGTGGACAAAGTGGTGGATGAGGACTGGGGAGACCTGGGTTCAAATCCCACTTGGCCATGGAAACAGACTGTGTGTGTGCGCAAATGACCAAACCACTCCCCAATATCTCAAATATCTTGAAAAACCTATTAGGCTTGCTGTACGTTGGATGTGACTTAATGGCACATAACAAACACCATTTATATCTAATTTCTAGCATCAAAGCATTTATTTGCCCCATGATTTCATTTAACAGCACATTGAAGTATCTTTAAAAACCACAATATGTGATTTATGCTGCTTTACATTTCCTGCTTTAGCCATCCATGTGGAAGAATCGCTTTATTTTACCCTCTAATTACCCAGCCATGCATTCAAAGGCTGATGTTCCGTTTTCAGAGTGTATGCACTTCTAACAAGGTACACAGTATAGAAGAATGTCTCCTGATGACCATGAATATGAAGTCAGAAGATTAGGCCCCACACCCTGCAAGCAGTCACACGTGCATTTATGCCTTCTGGGAAAGGAAAGCCAGCAATAGCACTCAGTAAATGCAACATGTAACACACATTTGAAAGGCACATTCACATATGTGTTCATAAGAACAGACTTCCAAAATTAACAAAACACCGCCCGTAGCCATGTATGTAAATTCTTTTTGTTGTCTAAGGAAGTATGGAAATCAGGAAATTACTGAGTTCTCAGTGAGCAGCCTAGACAAGATTGTGGAGCTGAGGGCCCTTACATTATATTAGGCATCCTTCAGTCTCAAAATACTATGGTAACATGCTCTGTATGGAGGACTTGGAACAGCATCTAGTGTGGCTGAGGAGGCCAATTCGAGAGTGACAATCCCTTCCACACTGAAGACAAATCCAATCTGTCCCCTGTCCAGCTCCCTGATTTTGCTGCTTCCGGGACTGCCTCTTTGCCTCAGCCCGCTGGACAAGGATCTCTTCAAATTGGGAGAGGCCGTGATGCAACACCTGCCCCCAGGCTGAACGCTCAGATGTCAGGGTTTCCCATCTTAAAAAGGCCATCCCTGCTAACCAAATCAAAGGCCTTTGTAAGGTCTATGAAGGCCACTAAGAGTGGCTGTTGTTGTTCCCTGCATTTCTCCTGCAACTGTCTGAGGGAGAATACCAAGTCAGTGGTGGATCTATTAGCTCGAAATCCACACTGTGATTCTGGATAGACTCTGCCTGCAAGCACCTGGAGCGTCTTCAGCACAACACAGGCAAACAGCTTCCCTACAATGCTAAGAAGAGAGATGTCATGATAGTTATTGCAGTCACCCGTCTCCTTTGTTCCTGTACAATGTGACGATGTTTGCATCCTTCCTGTCCTGTGGTACTCCACCTTCCCTCCAGCAAAGACAAAAGACTTCATACAGTTCAGTGCAGGGATGAACACATATTGCTCTGACGTATCATTAGCAGTCTGTACGAAAAGTGGAAAATACTTTTCCAAGCATACCAGTGTGCTTGACATCCAGGTTTTTCCTCAAGTTAGCAGCAGTGAGAAAATGGCACCAGCCTTGCTAGAGTATCATTGGGTGCTGTTTTCCCTGAAAGCCCTAAGAGGGGTTGAACCCCAAATATCTCAAAGAACATTTGCCCCCATATGAGCCTTCCCAAATGATGGCAGCCCTTGCTGTCAGGACTGTCTGAATCAGTTGTTTAGGTCAATGGCTACATGGAGCAAGTCTTCTCTTTCGGTTACCTTATCAATGTCCACCTCCTACCTAGGAGAAACCCACTCTCTCTGCAGAATTCTGGAAAGGTGGGAAATATTATTTGATTCCACAATGGATCTAAACTATGCCAGGTTATTCCATTGATACTTTGCATCGGGGTTACAGCAACTGTGACTCTCCAGCTGTTTTTAGACTGCAGCTCCCCAGATGCTTTTTGATATTGACTCCCATCAGTCCTTCATCAAGCTGGCTAGGGCAGCTGGAAGTTACAGGCCAAAGTGATAGTGCCTGACTACTGTTTTAGCCTGGTTATTTTATAATCTGCTCTTTCATTTTCTTGTGTGAAAACTTCCTAGAATGTTCTGAAAACCTTGAAACTGTATGGGGAAAAGGGACTCTCCCCCCCCTTGGGGATTGATTCTGGAAAAATGGAATGGGGGGAGGGACTCAACTATATGCAATTCTAATTTTATATAAAATCTAAACTCATATTAGTTCTTTTGTAACATAAAAGAATTCATTCATAATATAGTTCTCCCTGCAAAAAAATGTATACAGTGAAAAATAGTGATGCAAAATAATGAATATACCCTCTAGTACACAATTCACAAAACTGCGAATATGCTTTCTGGAAGCTGAGTCATGGCAGCTGGACTTCTTCCATATTAGGTTGAATATGCTTTGTAAGAAACTGAACATTATAAACTGAAATAGATATGCAAACCACCACATCCTATGCCAACTCAAACCTCACAATGTGAGAAGTAAGGGGGAGACGGAGGAACTAATCATTTTCTTCAAAATATAAACAGGCATTATTTGTATGCAAACAGTCTTGTATCTGCAGTGACCAAACTAGAACAAAGAGAACCGGAAGTAGACAAGCAACAATCCCCATACAATGAAGTCTCTCTATACAGTCAGAGGAGAACAGAAGTATCCACTATATGCAGTAAGACATATAGGATTTGAGCATCATAAATATTTAAATTATGCACAAGAATTATCACTTTCTGATTCTGTAGGTTATCTTGCATATAAATCTTCACACTTAGCAGTTCTTGGCATTGTGAATACAGAAACTGCGACCTTAAAAGACTAACATTGACTCCAGAATAGAAAACACTGTGTCAGAGTTTCTCTCTACATCCCCTAAAGTTTCTAGTTTTTCCATCCAAGGAGGATACTGTAGGGAAGAGAGAGTGTTAGGTAAGAAAGGAGCAGTACCGCAGGATGTATCTAAAGTAATCTAGTACGGCACAAGAATAACATGGGAAAATAGGGAATTAGCAATATGACTTCATTTTTAAAAAAAAGAGGTGACATTCCGGAGTACGTATACTGGAGATCAGGGAACTGGATACAACGAGTGGCAGTCTGTTTGCCAAGATGAGAAAGGGCTGATCATGTATAGCAGGGATTTTGCGAAATTCTCTGTAATTCTCTGTTGTGCCACATCTAAAGTAATTCTCTGTTGTGCCACATCTAACGCATACAAATAAAAAAAATGAAAAGGGAAGAAATTGGGGTTATGGAAACATGTTAATTTGCTTATTTATTACATCACTACCTCACCTTTTCACTAAAAGACAGCACTCAAGGTGACTTACAAACTTCTTATAAAAACTGGTACAACCATATTTAGCTAAAAATCATAAAACTGCACAACCAATCCCACTGAAAAACCATTCAAACAAGTAAATACATTAAGTAACAATTAAAAGACACGAAGGATACGTTTAAAACAGTATCTTGGATGGGTTAGACATTATAAGCGAGTCTAAAAAGATGTCTTTTTACTCTCTACTTAAAATCAATCAGGTGAAAACAGAGCACAACTCAGAAGGGAATGCATTCTGTAATCTGGGGTCAGGAGAAGGCCTATATGGTTGTTAAGTGAATCTCTGAAACCATTGGCATTTTTATGACAGCTTCTCCTAAAGATCTTTAAAAGCTCATAACGAGATAGGCTACTCCTCAGATAGCTTGGCCATGTTGTGTGGCAAAGTGTGCAGCTCAACATCTTATCCTCTTACCACCTCTTCTCCCTATCTAATCTGCAATTCAGAAAGGAATGAAGGTGTGTGTCAGGAAAGGTAGGTATGAAAGTGATAACCTGGGAAATGGGCTAGGCAAGAAATCCAGTAGGAAAGAGGGCAAGGAAAAGGCAATGGGTCTATGCAAATAAATAAGAAGAAAGCTAACAGGTATGGCTCAG